ACAAAGGATGGAGAGAGCCCCCAGGAGAATTTGGGTCTTAGGATTAGGAAAGGCTTTGTGGTAGGGGGAGGTAGCCTTTGAGCTCATTTACTAAGCTGTCTTGAATGGGATGAGAATTGTAAAAGCTTTCAACTGGTCTCTTTGCTTCCTACTCCCAGCCATTAGTCTATTTTTCATCACTGTAGCCAGAGCGATGCTCTTGAAGTGTAAGTCAGATTATATCACATCTGTGCTCAAAAATTTGCAGTGGTTCCCATTACATTCAGAATTAAATTGGCTCCTATTCATTTAGAGTGTGGGCATGAGGGCAGTCTGTGATCTGCCCTCTAGTCACTTATCTTGCATCATTCCTTCTCCTCACTCACACAACAGCTGCCTCACTGGGAAGTTCTCTATTCCTTGAATGTGCCAGACTTGCTCTCACCTCTGGCCACTCCTTCTGCCTGGAATGTTCTTTCCCCATGGTTTGCTTTCTCACCCTGTTTAAGTCTTCACTCAGACGTCACCTCATTGAAGCCTGACGTGATCTACTTTAATTGTAACCCCTACATCCTGGTACCTTACCTTTCTTCTGAATTTGTTGTTTCCTCCATGGTGTCTTTTACCTTCTGACATACTGCGTATTTTCCTAAATTTTTGTTTATTGTCTTTCTCCCCAGCAGAATGTACACTCCATGGAAGCACTTTTTAAAAAAAATCTATTTTCATCAATACTGTATCCCTAACACCTAGAACAGTGCCTCGTATTAGGTGCCCAATAGGTAGTTGCTGAATGAATGAATGAATCAATGAATGGGGACATGATACATGCCTGAGAAAGTCTACAGGAAGGGTCTCTTGGTGGAATTCCTAAAAAAAAGTTGCCTGAAGAATCATTTGCAAGGACAGCTCTATGACCTGCAGAGCTGAGGACCCTGCTGGGAGTGGGTGGTCAAATGAGGAGGACAGGGCCCTAAGCTGAGGGAGAGAATTCCAGCCACCAAGAATTGCCTCCAGGAGCCAGATGTCCAAAGAGTGGCAAGGAATCCCTTGTATTTTTTTCCCTATTGTTGTCATACTTGCTCTGCATGCTCAGCCAAACACCCTCGCCGGTGTACCCCCCAGCTTCTTCACTTGGGTCCATCTTTCAGCAATCCCCATACTTCTAATTCAGCCCCTCTCCCTATCCAGGCCAGCTCAGTCCCTTAAACAAGCACTTTGCTGCCCCCGTGTGGCTCCTACAGTAAAGGAACTCTTCCAGACCCTGAAATGACAAGAGACCTACGCAGGGACTCTCTCTCTCTCTCTCTCTCTCTCTCTCTCTTTTTAAGATGGTAAATTTTATGTATATTCTATCACAGTCTTTAAAAAAGTTACCTCAGGCTGTTTACACAGAGACTGTTAGAACAGGGATTGTGGGAGAGGAAATCTGAATTTTCTTGACCCCATGGTAACTGAATTATTGACAACTCTCTTCTCACAGACACTGTCACCAATGGCAATTACCATCTCTCAGCAGGACGCTGACAGCTGTGCTAGCTGGACTTGGGATTTGGTTGTTCTGGGCTGGTCACCCTTGGGGAAAGAATATGAGGCAACAGTCTGATCACTGGGCCTACATTAAGGAGCATTTAGGCTAGTTGCCTAGCTCCCACCTACTCTGTTTCCTCCCAACTCACAGCCAGTAGTCTTGGAGCGTGACACAGCCACCAGCGAGCTCGGGGCTAGGTATGTGTAAAGAGCGGAGGTGTGGGGTGTGACACGAGAGAGAGCACCGCGCACTGTGGAGAACTGGAGAGCTCATGTCCTGTAGGGCACTGCTCAGCTGAGCCTCCCAGCCAATTGTCTTTGCAGGTTACAGAAACCTGTCTAAGCTGCTATCAGCCCCAAACAGGGGAATGTCCTGGAGTGCTCCTGAGTTATATTTTGGACTTACAGGGCAGGGACACAGCTGGGCCTCAGTAACCATCTGGCTGGTACAGTTCCCAAAGAAAAGACTGCTTTATTACTTATTTCTATCTATTTTTTTTCTTTCTGGCTGCTTTCAAGATATTCTGTTATCTTTGGTTTCAGCACTTTGACTGTGATTAGCTTAGGTGTGTTTTTCTTTGTGTTTATCCTGTTCAGAATTCTTTGAGCTTCTTGGATTGGTGCTTGTTGTCTTTCATTAGTTTGGGAAATTCTCAGTGATTATCTCTAGATATTTCTTCTGCTCCATTCTCTCTCCCTTCTCCTCTGGACTTCAAATGGACTAACAAGGTATGTTAGACCATTTGTCATTGTCTTATACATTTTGCTTAGTTTTGGGTTTGCCTGATTCTATGCTTGCTTTTACTCTTTATGTTACAGTTTGATTAATTTCTTGACCTAGTTTAAAGTTCATGGATTTTTTTCCTCTGCTTTTGTCCAGTTTGCTGATAACACTGGAATTCATCTCTGATACTAAGGTTTTCACTTCTAGCATTTCCATTTCTTCTTTTATAATTCCTCTGCTCAAATTCCCCATTAGTTCATACATATTGTACACCTTTTTTTAAAAAAAAATTTTTTTATTTATTTTTTAGAGAGACGGGGAGGAAGGGAAAAAGAGAGAGAAACATCAGTGTGTGGTTGCCTTTCACACATTCCCTTCTGGGGACCTGGCATGCAACCCAGGCACGTGCCCTGACTGGGAATCAAACCGATGACCTTTTAATTTGCAGGCTGGTACTCAATCCACTGAGCCACACCAGCCAGGGCTGCACACCTTTTCCACTAAACTAGATCCTTTAACATATTAAATATAGCCATTTCATGGTCCCTAGTTGATAGTTATATCTTAGTAATGCTCATGTTCTCTTTATGAGGTGACTCTTCCTTTTATGGAGTCATGGTCATCATTTTTCTGATTTTGTCCACGTTGGCCTCCCCAGAACATGGGACACACCGGACTCTACATGGCTTTCCTCCCTCTGGCTCTTTGGCTAGATTGTTTGCAAAAGGGTTTGTTTCCTTCCACTTCACCAGTGCCTCCTTGAAGAGCACAGTGAGAGCTTAAGTAGACCCTTCCTGCATGTCCCTTTCCACATTAGTGTTGGTTCCTCATCTTGGAGGCTCCCAGACAAGCAGAGCTTTGGCCAGCTCCAAATGCGGCTTGAAGAAATATGCCAAGAAATGTTCCTTTCCATGCCTTGGCCTCCCTGAGTTTTCTTTTCTTTCTTTCTTTCTTTCTTTCTTTCTTTCTTTCTTTGGAGGGTAGAGGTAATAGCTTGTTTGACCAAAAACATCAAGTTCGCTCTGAAAAAATAAATGAGTCATGTGTATAGGCTAAAAGAAGCTCATTGCTAGAAAAAGCACCATATATATCTATGTACCTCCTTGGTTTCCAACCCTCTTGGCATCTGAACTTGGGCCATCCAGGCCTTCTTTGCCTTTAAGGAGATTAACTGTTGGCAAAGCAGAAGAACCTATTAGATACTCTGCTTGCTTGACAGAGAGCTTGCTAGAGGACATGCAGAAAGTCAAAATCTTCCATCACCAGAGCAGGTTTAGCCACTAGGCTCCTTAGGCACAGTTCCAAGAACATACAATACACTTAAAAATGTTATTGATTCAAAAAAATGTTATTGGTTTCAAAATACAGAAAAATATAAAAAACATGTATATAAAATTAAATGTTTATAAAACAATATTGCCAGTTTCATTACACTGTCAAATTTAATATTCAAAATATTCTCATTACATTTACAGAACTTGTTAGATTTCACCTCTATGCATGATGATTGCTGAAAAGTCACAGTCAACTACACATTAAAAACACTCATAGCTGGTTAATTTCCACAGCAAAGTGATTAAACAAACAAACAAACAAAAAAACCTTTTCAAATTATTTAAAACAATACATTGAGTATGAAGGTATTTTAATGTTGGATGCAATTGGTGTGAGACCTCCAAAAAAGAATAAGCCTGGGACCTGAAAGGCTAGAAGGGGCCCTTTGCTGCCACAGCTGTACTATGTGACCTGCCTCAGGAATGCCTCTCCCCTTCCTCCCCGCCACCAGGCTTTCCTTGAAGTATGTTAAACTGTGGCTCAGAAGTCACATCCTACTTTGACATCATCCAAGAGCCAGCTGTTCACATCCTACATCCTTTTCTTCCTTCCAGACTCTCAACCTTAACCTGGAAGCAAAGATGGGCACCATTCCTAAGAAACAATCAGGGGACTGTGAGTTCTCTAAGGACAGAGTCATTTCCCAGTTAATGTTCTATTTTGTTTGGTCTCGGGCCGGGTCTGGCTGGATGAGTGAAGAAGGGAGGGGAGGGCGGAGGCCCAGTGAGAGAAGAGACAGATGGCTATGTGCTAGGAACAGTGAGGGTGGGACAGTGCCCTTTAGCTGAATGAACTGAGGAAAGTAGCATCTTAACTGAACTGACAGACAGTTGCCCTGATGGCCTCCTTAGCCTACACCATGTAGATCTGGAACCTCTGTGTCTCCATTGCTGCCGCTTGTGCTCTCATCAGAAATGTACTTGTCTTTGCCTCCCACACAGTGACACTTGTCTCTGACTTACACGCAGTATCTCCTTTTGTTTCTATCCTCTGTGCTTTCATGCTTATTGTCAGTATTGCAGTTACTTATTTGCCTGTATCTTTGATTAATGCAAGTGTTCCTGACCCCTACTGCGTGTCAGGCACTACTTATGGCTGTCTCAGCTTCTTGGCTCCCAAAGGACAGAGGCAACTCTTGGGGAATCTTCTCTGATTGGTGTCCAGTGGTAAAGTGGTCATGGACCTGGTTCCAAAACTCAGTTGGGAAGGTGTGGGTTTCAGCAATGAGACAGAAAAATTTAAAAATAAAAATATTTCTATTTAATGAAAAATATACAGTTTGGGGAGTGGAGGAAAGTAGAGTTTCTCAAAGTTCTAGGTTGTCCGCAAACATTAATACCTCTGATGGTTGTTGAAAAACACCAGCTGGGAACCTGAATTTGGAACAAGTTCCTGTGTAATTTTAGTCACCTTAAAATTTGAGAATCACTGGCTAAGGGATGGAGTGGCGACTGTGGTTGTCTCGATCCTTCTGGCTTTTTAGGGTTCCAGGGAGCAGCTCACTTGACTTTTCCTGGACAAGTTCAGCTGACTCATCTGAGGGCTCCTGGCATTCCTTTCTTTGGGTTGCTGAGACACTGAAAGAGTTAATGCAGTTACAGGTCGGGGAGCAGCAAAGACAAGGCCCCCGGATGTAAATGCCCCCACACAGGCCACCCAACAGTTTCCCAGGTCTTCTCTGGGAGACCAGTCCCGGGCTGGACCCAGACGTGGCCTGAGCATAGAACTGCTTACCATACATTTCTGCCACATCCCAGGGGCTCTGCTTCTGTTATTGTGAGTCTGCCTCTTGTCTCACATCACATAATACTTCCCACTTCCTTCCTCTTACTCTTCCCTGCTTCTTCCTACCCATCTCCATTGCCATCTAATCTCCTTCCCAGAAACCAAATTGTAAGCCCTCTCCTCTGTCTGCAGCATGTTGGATATCTGTGTAAGTTTGCACTTGCTGCATCTTGGTGCACACACGTGAGCCACTGTGAACTTCAGCTGTGCAGGAATAGGCCCTGAACAAGGGAGGGCAGCTAGGGTGAAGGTTAAGATTCTTCTCCAACTGCAGACAGCGTTTGGTGTGTGCAGACACGTAGTTATCTTACCTGTTAGAGAGAGAGCCCAGGGTAGACACTTGTGAGGCAAAGCACAAAAAGATCTTGAAGGAGGTCTGCTGGTTTTTGAGGGACATGGTCCTCCTAGTGCCCCCAACCACAGAGGGAAGATGAATAGCCCTTCCGCACATGCTGAGAGGATACCTCAGCAGGCCTGAGATGAGACAGGCTGTCAGTGCCAGGCAGATTGGGAAAATGGGGCAGTTCCGTGTGAGGTCGGTGGTCCTAGTTATGAAACTAGACGGTGCTGTGAAGGGGACAGCACGGCCAGGGGAGCCAGTGAGGACAGCAACATCACAAAGAGGTGAGTGACCTGGAGCCACACAGCAGGTGGACTTGAGGACTCATGGTGGGCCAGGGGCAGGTGGCCAGAGAAAAGCTGCACTTTCGGGAGTGGGGGCAGAATGTGTCTTCAGGGTACTCGCAGAAGAAGCAACACGACCACCCCCTACCCCGGAGGCAGCAGTAGCCTGGGCAGTGGGAGAGAACTTTTGTTGAAGAGTTGCAGAGCCTCATGCCACAATAACAAGACCCCAAGACAACCCCGGGAGCCCCCACACTGAAATGTTAAGGACCAGCCTGCCACACTGGTAGGTGGTGCCAACCTGGGATGTAGGAAAAGAAAACAGAAGAAGCAGGGCTTTGCCTCTATACCTGTTCGTGAGATAAAGTGAATAAACTTACATAGAGTTGGAAAGCGGGGAAGAAAATTGTATTCACCTGAGTTTCCCTGGAAAGGGGAAGCTGTTTTTGCTAGGAACAATATTTTGATAAGTGCTTAAGCCTGAAGCTGAGATCCCAGGGGAGGCCTGGGTGTGGGTGGAACAGCTCTGCATGAGACAGGAAGGAGTTTTTGAATTCTGCATGTTACACTGAAGAGAGGGGGAGTAAAGAGGCTCTGTTTGGTGCTGTTCATTGTGAATCCCTTAACGCATCACCCCCTTAAATTTTCCAAAAGTGGCATCATGAAATGCTTGGGGTCAAATGGAATATGTACCCCTGGTATTTATGTACACATATTTGCATGTGTGGGAAGAACAAAGGGGTTGGGAGGCCTCCGATTCAAACAGATGCCAAGTAGAGCCCAGACACTGGCAGGGATACAGAGGGAGAAGAGAAGGAGCTCAGGAGAGACAGCACCATGGGGCACCTTGGACAAGTTTAGCCAAATCTCAGTAGGTTGGGGCCCCATTAGACTTCTGGGTTACTTCATTTTGCCACATTGTTGTTTTGGTGTTTTCAATTAATTGTGTATGCTGTATCCAAATCAATTCACAACAACAGTAATATACATACACACGCCCCTTGGAAACTCTCCGGAAACTATCCATGTCCTAGGTAGGCTATAATGCTAATGTCCAGCTGGACTCTCAGGCCCACTTCAGAGCAGAAGCCTAGCTAAAGACCAGCCTTCTTTGATGCTGCCCTGCTATCCTGCCTTATGTAAGTCTCTGTCTCAAGGACAGCGGCAGCACCAGCCTCTTAAAGCTTTTGGTTCTGGTTAGGTCTAGATTGGCAGGCATCAGTGCCCTCTCCCTGTCGAAACCTATAACTGGGGCAGGTCGGGGCCACAGGAGGCAGCTGGGATTGGTTATCTAGAAAGGCTGCCTGAAAGGGCCTTGAGTCTTCAATAGTGACAGCTTCAAGCCAAGAGAGGCAAAGGAGAGTTGAAATGCCTAACCAGAAAGCTGATTATTGGTCCACTGAGACCTCCCTCCCTCCCCTCAGCTCCTCTTCCCAGGGACAGTTCTTGAAGGCCTTAAGGAAATAACAATGCCAAAGACAGGCCCAAGCCCATGTTTCAGGTTTATCATGCAATTCTTTGTCTCCTTCATTGATCTACCCCGCACGTGGCTCTCTTTGAAAACAACCCCAGACCTAGGGTGAGATATGACTCCTGAGTAATTCATTGGCAGCCCAGGAAACAAATAGAAGGAAAGACTTCCATAGTGACCTTCTGAGACACCATGGAAAGTCCTTTGAGAAAACTAGACGGGTATTGGCGTGGGGACCCAAGCTGATGGCTGATGAGGCAGACAAGCATCGCTCTGCCTGCCGTAGCATAATACATGAGGTCATTATTAATGATTGGAAAGAGACCTCTTGGGCCTCTGGACAGAGACAGTGTGTACTCTGGCCCCCACCCTTGGCGGGCAGGTCTCCCTGAATCCAGATTAACCACCCAGCCTTGCTTGCACCTTACCGGGCCTTGAGGGACATCAAGCTTTTATGGTATGAGGAATGGACATCCAGTGCCAACAGCCGGGGGATATCTGGGCACCCCCCGAGCTGGTCCCAGGACAGGCTGACTGGGGTCTTCTTTTCTATTGGGTGACTGGAGGAGGCCACGTCAGTTCTCCAAACAGCCTCAATCTGGTTACCCCGTTGTCTGAGGGTGGAAGGGTAAGGATGGAAAGTGTAAAAAAAAAGAGACAAAGAGTTAGACAGGCAGGAAAAAAAAAAAAGAGATTGACAAGCCAAAAGCTCTCCAGGGCCACAAGTCTCAAGACACTTTCCTTCTCAAATAGTTGTCACTGCCCTCCTTGTTACCTCTCTTCCCATTAACCCTAAGTCTCACTTTTCCGGGGCTCCTTTGGCTGAGGAGCCTCCCCCAGTCACATGTCCTGGGGCTGAAGCACTGAACTGGACCATACTAAGGGTGGGTGTAGATGTGGGTCTTTTTGCCTGCCTAGAGGCTCACAGAATCTCTTTCTGAGCACAGGGTCACATGGTAGGAAGGATCGGGCTTGTTTTTATGGACAAGACAATGGCAGGTGCTAGACCAATGCTCAGAGTAGAGATGGCTGTAAATTCTCAGCTGTGGGTCCTCAGAATCTTTCTGTTGCATAGTTTGAAACATTTGGTTAGACTGGCCCCTGAAGTCCACACACCCTTGCAGGCACATACACACCCACCATAGCCAATGGCCAGAGTTGAGGAGGGCAGCTGAGAAAACAGGTACCTTGCAACGCCTGGGGTGAGCCTTGCCTGTTTGTGCCCTTCAGGAGCTGTCAGCATCCCCAGTCTGGCCACCCCTGCTCCCTGCCCCACCATCCATCCAGGTGACTGCACACTTTGCTCCCTGCACCTACCGGGCCATCCGCAGGGACACACATTCCTGGTGCTTGGATGGAAGGTGTTCTGGGGGCTGCTTGCAGAAGGGGCTGCTGGAGTGGACACGCCGGAGTAAGGAGGGGGGCGGCTTGCTTTTTCTTGACTTTGGGGAGGTGATCACAGGGGTATGCAGGTGAATGTTCCACTCCAGCTGGAGCTAGAGGAACCAGCAGAGAGGCATCAGGGAGATGGGAAGTTATCCCTCTGGAGGGCAAAAGGAGGCATTGCCTAACTCAGGGTAGAAGCCCCTGGAATCCCAGAGTATCAAATTTTCTAGAAATCCTTTAAATTCTTACTTATTAGATCAGTTCCTGTTATCTCCTTTGCTGTGGAGAATCTGGACATTGGGTAAAACAGCAAAGGAAAAAACCAAGGGAAGCCAGAGCAGCTGGAACTCCTGAGGCACTTGCAACGTTCATGACATGGAGCCGGGTTGTGCCTGGAATGCTCTGGGTATCTTTCATCAGCCTCCACCCAGGCACTGGGCAAGGAGCTGGGGAAACCCTCACAGTCACCAAAAGAAGTCATTATGGTCCTTTTCCATTGCAACCTCAAAACCAACTTAGCAAGTTAGGACACTTACACGAGATGATCAGTACTAGTGTAAGGTGATGGGCAACTGAGTAGGGAGATACCTCCATGGCCAGCGCTCTTCCAACTGCCTGCTGCCGGCACTGACACAGAGTCCCTCAGCACACTGCTTCCCCCAGACTTAGGCCACTGCTGTTCGGGGTGCAGGGGGCTTACATCCTGGCCCAAGCCTACGGGAGATCCCAGCAGGTTTTGAGTCACTGCTGTGGTACTCTCCAGTCCCTCCAAGCCGTAGGCTAACCCCTTGGGGACCATGTCAGCACGGGCTGCTTCTCTACCCCAGTAACAGAGGAAGGAGTAGAAGAAACTGAAGCCAGCCCTCAAAGAATAAAAATAAGTCAAACCCAATAGAGTGGGACTCAGAATGACTTTGGACTCTCAGTATTAACACCAAAACCTAGAAGGCAATAAGCAGTGTCTTCAAAATCAGGAGGGAAAAATGAATTCTAACCTACACATACATTTCCATGCAAACTGTCTGTCAATTAAGAGTGAGAGTAGCCCTGGCTGGTGCGGCTCAGTGGATTGAGCACCAGCCTGCAAACTGAAAGGTTGCTGGTTCAATTCCCAGCCAGGGCACATGCCTGGATTGTGGGCCAGGTCCCCAGTTGAGGGCATGTGAGAAGCAACCAATCATTGTATCTCTCACACATTGATATTTCTATCCCTCTCTTTCTCCCTCCCTTCCCCTCTCTCTAAAAGGAAATAAATAAAATCTTTAAAAAAGAGAGAAAGTAGATACTTTAAAAAAAAGATGTTTTCACACAACCAGGGTCTCAGTGATTTTATGTGCCTGGCACTCCAGGAAGTGACTGGAGGAGGTGCTCCATGAAAACAAGGGAGACCTGGCATCTAGAAAGCGGGGGAGCTGTCCCCTGAGAGAAGCAATGCAAGTCCCTAATACGAGGGTGAAGAAGACAGCTGTGACGAGGCCTGGAGAACGTATAGGGACAGGGCAGAGACCTACAGGCGAGGAAGAACCTCACTGCAAAGTTGGGACTGCGGGGTCCAGCTAACTCCCTATCCAAAGGAGTCTTTCTTCCATAGCTCTTTTTGAAAGTCCCTCTCTATTGCTCTCCCCTCATAATGGAGATTGAAAAACTGCCCTTCCTTCCACTCAGGCGCCTCCTGCCTTCACCTTTTCCTGGTTCAGAGGCTTTAACCTGTTCTCTTATTTACCATCTGCCCCCTCTTGTCCCCAGCCACACGCCACATTCCTACTGGCTCACTTCCTGGTCCCCTCCCTACTGTGCTGACTCTGGAAAAGGTCACCAGGCAAGAGACCCACCTTGGGGAACATGGTCACCATACTGCTTAGGCACCCTTGGAGCTTCCCTTCCAGGTCCTTCTGCTTGTCCGTCCAGGCCTGCAGGCGAAGGGTCTGCAGGTGGTCAATGTTCTTCAGGGACGTGTAGAGACTCTGGGCCTTGTAGGTAGCCCCAGCTTCTCGCATGGCTTGTATGTGGTTGATTGCTTCTTGTCTGGAGAGAAAGGGAAGTCATTTCGTGGGTGAACAGGCCTCCTTTTTTCCAAGTCTATTACCCAGAGATGACTTCACATTTGTAATTCCTGGGAGCAAAAAGAGAAGCAGAGGTTGGTGAGAGCTAGGAAGACAGGGAGCATAGAAGGGGGAGGCAGTATCAGGTGAGAAGCCTTGGGGCTGGGCTGGAAAAAGGAACAAAGTAAGGCAAATGAGGGGGCATATTAGGTGGGGTTATGGACCAGGAAGTAGGAAGACAGGAAGAAATAAGGAAGCGAGCTTAGAGAAAAAACCCACTACATGGATAACAATGTCTAAGTATCCTACCTCCCACTTCTTCAGGGTTGCCCAAGGCCTCAGGGGGACTTTTTCAGGCCTGGGGTGATTCTCCCCATCCCCTCTTGCTCCATGCTCCTCCTTTCCCCTTGGGTTTTGACTGTTCCCACACACTACAGTGGATGTGGGTGGGTGCCCAGTGGGTGCCAGGGAGGACCTACCGGAGGCTCTGGAAGGATCTGTAGAGGATATACTTATGGCACAGGCTCTGCAGCCTGAGCACGGTCAGCTCCATGGTGGTGGTGGTAAGCTCCCGTGCTTTGCTGCGTAGGTAGCGGGGCAGCCCCTGCTCAGCATCTTCGCTCAGGAGCTGCAGATTCTTCCTCTGGGCCTCTACGTCCATATGATATACCTTCCGCTTCAGAGTCACTGAGGATATACGCAAAGGGGGCTGGGTCACTTTCTGGATGGATGCCCCTGTGGCAGGAACAGAGGCCGATTTCTTGGGCTTTGTGGGAACCTGGTGAGTCCATGGTTTCTGGGTAAACTCGATTGAACTCATGATCCTCTGATTTCCTAGGGTGGGCTTCTGAGTATTAGGGGTCCTAGGCAAGTGTGGCCTTCTGCTTTGGCAAGCAGATTGGGTCCGTCTTGGGGGAGGTGCCAGCGATGCCTTCTTCAAGTCCCTCCATCGACGGGTGGTCACAAAAATCTTCCTCTCCTCATCTTCCCTTGGCTGCCCCAGGTCCCTCTGTGGGTCCTCTTTCTCCTTTTCTGGCTGGACCAATCTCTGCTGCTGCTCCTTTGCCTCCTTCTCCATCTCCCACTGCCGCAGCTTCTCCTGGTGTTCCTGTTCCAGCAGGGCCCACTTCTGCTGCCGTTGCAGCCACATCTCCTCCTCCTCCAGCCACTGCTGCCTCCGCCTCTCCCAGTTGAGTTCCTCTTCCCAGTGTTCCACCTTGCTCTCCAAGTCCACCATCCTGGAGCTCTCTGGCGACAGATGCTCTCTACCATGGGACTCGATTTGGAGTCCTTCTTTCTCCTGGGCTGCTTCCTGGAAGAAGTCCTTCTGGTCTTTGATTTTATGACCTAGGCTCTCTGCCACTGGTATTTCCCATATCTGAGGAAATTTGTGATCCACTGAAGATGGAAACATAAACTGAAGACTTTCAGTGTCCTGGCTGCTATATACATCTGCGATCCTCAAATTCATGGTCATGGTGGAAAGTGGTTGATACGTTGAAGACCTGGCACCACTGTCCCCAGCTGCAGCCATGGGACCCGGGGAAAGCAGTGAAAACAACTGCTCCTCCTTCTTGGGTTCCAGTGGGGTTTCCTCCATGATTGCCTCTTTCTTTGGAATGGCTTCTCTCTCAGGGGGGCCTGGGGAGTCAACAAAGATCTCAGCTGAGTCTCCTGCTTGACCTCTAGCAGTCTGAGCCTTCTTCAGCTGGAACTCTAAGGCATGCTTTATCAGGAGAAGGTCATGGTACTTTCCCCCTAGAATTTCTACCTGCCTTAGTAGGGCATCCCTCTTACTCTTGAGGACTTGCAGGGACTGCTGAAAGTACAGCCTCTGGCTGCTGAGTTCTTTGGTCATCTCTGTTTCCAGTTGCTTGTATTTGGTCTCCAGGCCCCTGTTCTCATTGTGCTGGAGGATCAAGGCCTTGTTGAGGTTCTCCACCACAGCAGACATGTACCTGATGGCCTTGACCTCCCCCTGGTTGAACATGGTGGAGTCCAGGAGTTCCTGCAGCATGGACCTCACCTCAGAAACCTTCATGCAGGCCATATTCTTATCCTGGAGCATCTGCTCTGGGCTCAGTGGCTGAGGGTAGGATGTAAATTTTTGCAGGCTTTGTTCCTGCCAGCCTTGCCAGAAGGTGTGTTTGGACACTAAAAGAAGTAGAAAGAACAAAGGCAACAACCTCCCATGGGTCCCAAGGATTATACTGCTTTCCCAGATGCTGCTTGGCCAAATTTCCATCCACCCCTCCTAGAGCTTGGCAAGAAAGGAGCTGGGGCTACATGTAAGGCCAGGAGAAAAGTTGTCAGGAGAGATCTCTGCCAGGCTCAGAGCTTGCCCAGGGCTTACCGGTGGGGCCCAGAAGAGCCTGGAACTTTTCAATCCAGTTCAACTCAATTCAGAGTATTCCTGGTCCTCCATATTTCCCTGGAGTAAAGTTATTTTTCTAATCATGCACTTAGCAGCCTCAATACCTGTGTTTCCCAATTATCCAAACTCTGGAAGCCTACCTGGTACTTAGACCCCAGATCATGTGGGAAACTTTATTTCCCTCTTTTATTAGCACTGGACTGTGTTTATAGAAAATTTGTCACATGGTCCTATAATTGCTCGTTTGTCTGTTTTTTTTTTAATGAATAATGCCTTTTTCCATTTGAAGGGTTACAAACTCCTTTGATACTTTGATGAAAGCAGGGGACCTCCTCTCTCCATATATATGTGTGTGTGTATATATATATATGGAAAAAGAGAGAGAGGGAGAAAGAGAGAGAGATTGTGCACTCTGTGTTTCGTAGACGTCAGCTCCTCAGGGCTGGGTCATGGTCGTAGTTGTATCCCTTTGGATCTACCATGTGAAGGGCTGCCATGTGTGTGATTATCTTGGAGCATCCATTCATTTGCTCATTCAATGAACATCACTGGAGAAACTGTTGGCTAACTTTGGATGGGGGCTAAAGGAAATAATGGGATTAAACGACATTGAAGTCAAGCTAACCTCAAGCTAATATTGTCAGAGAGGCCAAATAGCCTAGTAATTCAGTGTGTGGATTCTGGAATCAGATAACTTGAGTTTGAACCCCACCCTTACCACTTGCTTTGGGCAAGTTTCCTAACTTCTCAGTGCCTGAATCTCTGAAAATTGGGGATAGTCATAATATCTAATTCATAGTATTTAACTTAAAGCATCTTTAGTGCCAAGCATAGTACCAGGTGCCTAGTAGGTACTCAGTAACTAATCCCTAAAAGGAAATGAATAAGACACAGCCTTTGCCCTCTAGGAGTTTATAATCTGGCAAGGAAATAAGTATGTAAGTAACTATATTTGGAGAAATAATATGGTGAGGATTGTAGAAGAGATTGTCTCCTTTTCATCCTCCTTTCCCTGCTTCCTCCCTCCCCCCGCTATGGACCCTGTTTGATGATAAGGAACCTGGCCATGAGACTCAGTGGGAAACCGCTAATGTTAGCTATTGGGTATTAAGCCCTGAGCATGTTCTAAGTATAGTGCCAGATGTCTGTACCAAGTGTAACCCCACAAAGTGGGCAGTATCCTCCTCATTTTGGATATGAGGAAATTGAGGTTCAGAAAGATGAAGTAACTTGCCCAAAGACACAATCACAAATAGGCACATGGGATTCAAACTCAGGTCTATCTGTCTGAAGCCCTTGCTTTTGAGTAAGGTTAAGAAGCCAAAAAACCTGTGTGGGACCTGGCTTTGCCACAGTCTTTCTTTGTGGTCCTTTCTCTTCTTGAGCTTTAATATTCTCATCTACAAAATGTAGGAGTTAGGTAATCTCAGGCGCCTCTAGTGCTGACAGGAGTAAAATTTGAAGGTTGAACTTTATTGTTGACTGACCACTTCTGGAGCAGCCACAGTTGAGTAGACTTTGGAACCTTTGGCCTTGTCTCACCAGACTCCTGGCTGTGTGGCTAGGTTTGGAGTAAGGAAAGGATGTACCTCAGGCTCTAGCAACAGACTCCACCCTTTCCAGCTTTCTAGCTTTGTTCCCCAGAAGTCTCAAGAGGCCACAGCTCCAGGGAGCACCAATGGGAACCTGTCTCCACATCACCCCTTCCTCCAGCGCTGAGGGACAGCTCAGAGCTGCCCCATGCTCAGCTTAGGTTCAATGCCTCAGCAACTGCCCATCCATCTCAGATAAAGCTTGTATTTCACTTGAGTCAGAAAGACCGCCCCCCCGGACCTTGTCCCCTGAGATGGCATCTGCTCCACCCAGTGCCGCTCACAGGTACTCCTGGAACCTACTTTGTGCCCTTTTCTTTTGTTCTTCAATGAGAGTGGAGCAAAGGGAAATGAGAGACTCGATGCCTCCTTTGGTGGTGATGAGAGAGAGAGGTAACACCTTCTCCATCACCTCAATCCATTCGTCCAGGCCTTCCTCTTCCTTCTCACTCGTCCTGTTCCTGATCTCATAGGCCAGACTGTCACCTAGAGAGGGAGTGGGAGGTTATAGTTCTAACTCTGACTTCTAGGGAGCCCCAAGCAGCCCAATTGCACGGGGGTGAAAACATCAGGCTTTGAGGTCAAATTGATTTCACCTCTTACTAGCTGTGTGATGTTGGACCTGTCAGTTATTCCCCTGAGCTTCAGTATCCTTGCCTGTAAAAGGATTACAAGAGATTAAATGAGATCATACATGTAAAATGATCAACATGAGGGTTGCCATGTAGAAAATATGTAATAGGCATTAAACAATATTGTTGTACTGTAAGGCCAGGGATGTGTCTGCCTTATTATTTATTACTCTATCCCCATATTGCCTAATCCAATATCTGGACAATTAAATGAATTAACTGGATTTAACAACCCTGCTTAGTTCTTGGGGGCAGCTGAAGAACCACTAAACTGGGAGCTCCTAGGGGGAAAGGCAGTGTGAGGGGGGTGGGGCACATCCCTATACCACCTTCCTCCAATATTGCAGCATCTACCACAATTCATAGTAGACTCTCATGATGGGATAACTCTGATAATGGGAGTAGCATCTGGCTCCAGGGCTGCATGCAGCTGGTCCACACCCAAATGTCTATACTGGTTTCTTACAGCTGACATCAGTGTTGTTTGACCCAGTACCCATGCTGTAAAGATCATTTAGTACTGTGAGTAACACCCCTGGGTTCCCATATGAAACAACTAGTGTGTGCCACAAAAAAAAACTGTTAGAACTAATAAACAAATTCAGTAAAGCTGCAGGATACAAAATCAACATACAAAAATCAGTTGCATTTCTATACATTAACAATGAATTATCTGAAAAAGAAACTTTGAAAACTCCCATTTACAATAGCATCAAAAACAATAAGTACTTAGGAATAAATTTAACCAGGGAGGTAGAGGATCTCTACACTGAAAACTATAAGACATTAGTGAAAGAAATTGAAGAAGACCCATATAAATGGAAAGAAACTCCAGTGTTCACAGATTAGAAAAATTAGTATTGTTAAAATGCTCATACTGCTCAAAGCCATCTTAGATTCAATGCAATATGAATGGCACTTTTTTGCAGAAATAGAAAAAACAATTCTAAAAGTTATATAGAACCATACAAGCCCTAAAATAGCTGAAGCAACCTTGAGAAAGAAAAACAAAACATACTACCTGATTTCAAACTATATTACAAAGCTATAGTAATCAAAACAGCACAGTGCTGGCATAAAATGCAGACACATTGACCTATGGAATAGAATCAAGAGTCCAGAAATAATCCCATGCATATACAGTTAACTAATATTTGACAAGGGAGCCAAGAATATACATAGTCTCTTCAATAAGTGATATTGGTAAACCTAGACATTCACATGCAAAAGAATGAAATTAGACCCCTATCTTTTTTTAAAGTATATTTTATTGAAAGTGGAGCAAAGGGAAATGAGAGACTCGATGCCTCCTTTGGTGGTGATGAGAGAGAGAGGTAACACCTTCTCCATCACCTCAATCCATTCGTCCAGGTCTTCCTCTTCCTTCTCACTCGTCCTGTTCCTGATGGTGATGATTATGCTATTAGAGTTTTCCCAATTTTTCCCCCTTTGCCTTCCTCTGCTCACTCAGTACCCCACTTCCCTTCAGCAATCCCCACCTTAGTTTGTGTCCATGGTTCATGCATGTAAGTTCTTTGGCTTCTCCATTTCCTATACTGTTCTTAATATCCCCCTCTCTATTTTGTGCCTACCAATTATGCTTCTTAACCCCTGTACTTCTCCTCCCACTCTCCTCCTTCCCCCTCCCTCCCTGCTAATAACCCTCCAGATGATCTCCCTATCTATGATTCTGTTCCTGTTCTGGTTGTTTCCTTAGTTTGTTTTTGTTTTTGTTTTTTAGATTCAGTTGTTGATAGTTGCGAGTTTATTGTCATTTTAATGTTCATAGTTTTGATCTTCTTATTTTTCTTAAATAAGTCCCTTTAACATTTTATAAAAAAAAGGGCTTGGTGATAATGCCCTCCTTTAGTTTTTACCTTGTCTGGGAAGCACTTTATCTGGCCTTCCATTCTAAGTGATAGCTTTGCTGGGTATAGTAATCTTGGTTATAGGTCCTTGCTTTTCACCACTTTGAATATTTCTTGCCAGTCCCTTCTTGCCCACAAAGTTTCTTTTGAGAAATCAGCTGATAGTCTCATGGGAACTCCTTTGTAGGTTACTCTCTGGTTTTCTCCTGCTGCTTTAAGATTTTCTCTTTTATCTTTAACCCCTGGCAATTTAATTATGATGTGTCTTGGTGTGGTCCTCTTTGGGATTGGTTGGGACTCTCTGTGCTTCCTGGACTTGTATGTCTATTTTGTTTGCCAAATTAGGAAAGTTTTCTTTCATTATTTTTTCAAATAAGTTTTCAATTTCTTGCTCTTCCTCTTCTCCTTCTGGCTTCCTTATGATCAGATGTTGGCATGTTTGGAGATGTCTCGGAGTCGTCTTATTCTCTCATTTTTTTGAATTCTTGTTTCTTCATTCTGTTCTGGTTGACTGTTTATTTCTTCCTTATGTTCCAATTAATAGATTTGAACCCCAGCTTCCTTCCCTTCACTGTTGATTCCCTGTGGATTTTTCTTTATTTCACTTAGTTTAGCCTTCATTTCTTCCCTTATGCTTTTACCATACTCAGTGAGCTCTCTAAGCATCCTCATTACCAGTGTTTTAAACTCTCCAACTGATAGATTGGCTACCTCCGTTTCACTTAGTTCTTTTACTGGGGTTTTGTTTTGTTTTTTTTTTTTAAAGATTTTATTTATTTGTTTGTTTTTAGAGAGGAAGGGAGGGAGAAAGGGAAAGAAACATCAATGTGTGGTTGTCTCTTGAGTGCCCCCCCCACTGGGGACCTGGCCCGCAACCCAGGCATGTGCCCTGACTGTGAATTGAACCAGTGACCCTTCAGTGCTCAGGCCAGCTTTCAATCCACTGAGCCACACCAGCCAGGGCAGTGTTCTCTTCTTTCATTTGAACCATATTTCTTTGTCCCCTCAATTTGGCAGCCTCCCTGTGTTTGTCTCTGTGTATTAGGTAGAGCTGCTTTGACTCCCTGTCTTGGTGCACCTGTTACATTGTATGGGTGGAGCCTTAAGCAATCACCAGGGTGGGGCAGCCCACTTCAGCACTTTGTGGCTTTGTATGTTGGGGAGGGGTCAGCCGGGGTAATGTCGCTGCCTGACTGCCGGAGTCTTGTTCGATACTTGCCCTGCTTGCGGTCACTTATGTGACTGGCATCTCTCTGGCTGTTGCTCTGGTGGCGATTCCCAGAATGGGTGGGTTTGCATACATTCTAGGACTCTGTGGGTCCTTTCAATGGACTCTCCTGAGAGACCTGCAGTCTCTTCTGCTGCCCCAACCCCCACTGATTTTTACAGCCAAGAGTTGTGATACTTTAATTTCCTGGGTTGGAACCCTGGGCTGTGGAATCTGGCATGGGGCTTGTTCCTTGGGTATCCCTGATGTGGGGCCACCTGTTCTGGCCGCCGCCACGACTGCCTGGTCACCGCGACTTCACCTGCTGCCATGCCACATCCTCTCTGCCCCAGCTCCTCATCTCTGCCCCTTCTCCCAGCCTGGATGAATATGTCTTCTTTAAATCCTTCATTGTCGAACTTCCTTCCATACGGTTCAATTTTCTGTCATTTCTGGGTGTTTTTTGTCTTGAGGTTAGTTGTAATGCTATTTATGGTTGTGCAAGGAGGTAAAGTGTGTCTGCCTATGCTTCCATCTTGATCAGAAGTCCTAGACCTCTATCTTATACCAGTCACGAAAATTAACTTCAAATGGATTAAAGACTTAAATGTAAAATCTGAAACCATAAAACTCCTAGAGGAAAAAATAGGGGAAAATCTTCTTGATATTGATCTTGACAATGATTTTTTTTTTGATATGACATTAAAAGCAACAGCAAGAAAAACAAACAAACAAAAAAACCATGTGGGACTACATCAAACTAAAAAGTTTCTGCAGTAAAAGAAATGATCAAAATGAAAAGGTAATCTACAGAATGGGGAAAATGTTTGCAAACCATATTTTTGATAAGGGGTTAATATCTAAAATATATAAGGAATTCATACAACCTAATAACAAAAAAAAATCCAGTTTAAAAATAGACATTTTTATAAAGAAGACATACAAATTGCCAAAAGTACATGAAAAGATGTTCAACATCACTAATCATCAGGGAAATACAAATCAAAACCACAATGAAATATTACCTTTTACCTGTTAGGATGGCCATTATGAAAAAAAAACAAGGAATAAGTTTTGGTGAGATGTGGAGAAAAGGGAACCCTTGTGCATTGCTGGTGAGAATGTAAACTGTTACAACCGTTTTGGAAAACAGTATAGAGGTGTCTCAAATTAAAAATAGAATTCTCATATGATCCATCAATCCCACATCTGGATATATATCTAAAAAAAGAGGGTGATCAAAAAAAATTTAAAAATCACTGTCTTCAAGAGATATCTGTATGTCCAGGTTCATTGAATTATTATTTATAATAGCCAAGACATGGAAATCACCTAAGTGTTGGTGAATGAATGAATGAATGAATAAAATGTGGTATAATGAAATATTACTCAACTATAAAAAAGAACAAAATCTTACCATTTGCAACAACATGGATGGACCTAGAAGGTGTTATGCTAAGTGGAATAAGTCAAAGACAAATACCATATGACTTCACTTACATGTGGAATCTAAACAAAATAAACAAAACAGAAACAAATTCATAGATACAGAGTACAAACTCATGGTTGCCAGATGTTAGAGGGGTTGGAGAGCTGGGCGAGAAAGTTGAAGGGACTAAGAAGTACAAATTGTAAGTTACAAAATAGTCATGGGGATGTAAAGTACAACATAGGGGATATAGTCAATAATACTGCAGTAACTGTGTATGGTGTCAGGTGGGTACTAGACTTATCAAGGGAATCATTTTGTAAACTGTGTAAATGTCTAACTCTAACCATTATGCTATACACCTGAATCTAACATAATATTGAATGTCAACTGTAATTGAAGCAAAATTTTAATGTGGTATATACAATGAAATATTATTCAGTTATAAAAAGAAGGAAATCCTGTCATTTGCCATAACATGGATGGACATTGAGGATATTAGGCTAAGTGAAATAAGTCAGACAGAGAAAGACAACACTGTACCATCTCACTTATGTGTAGAATCTAACAAGTTGAATTCATAGAAACTGAGTAGATTTATGGTTCCCAGGGGCTGGAAGTAGGAGTAAATGGGGAGATGTTGGTCCAAGGGTACAAACTTTCAATTATAAGATAAATAAATTTTGGGGATCTAATGTACAACATGGTGACTATGGTTAACAATACTGTATTGTATACTTAAAATTTGCTAAAAGAGTAGATCTTAAATGTTCCCACCACATAAAAGGTAACTGTGTGAGATGATGGATGTGTTAAGTAACTTTATTGTAATAATCATTTCACAACATAGAGGTATATTATTGTACACTTAAATGTACACAATGTTATTTGTCAATCACATCTCAATAAAGGTGGAAAATTAAAAATAAAATAAAGTAGCTAGGGTGGGTTTGAATTTAGTTTCCATCTTGTTAAAAAATGAGATATCATCATGGACCCATGCATTAGGCTTCATCACATATGGCAGCTAATGTTATATTTTTGACAGTTACATGCTTGCCATTCTGGGGAGTGAAGGTGATGTGTTGTGACATGAGTGAGAGAATATTTCACTGGAGGGGCACTGTGATACGTCTTTTGCTCCCTCTGCACCCGCCACGCTATACTCCCCTGCCAGAGAATGCTGACCAAGGATGGAGAGAGGAAGAGACTGAACAAGCTGGAAGGCACCTGCCCTCAGGACTGCACCCAGCCTACAGACTCACCCCAGTCACCCAGCCAGTGGAGAATTTCGTATAAGTGCTTCTCTTTAGTCTTAGCATCTTTGGAAAAGGAGGCAATTTTCTCCAACAAGATGAATCTGTCCTTTCCCTTTTGCTCCATCTGGTAAGATTTTGCTTTTTCTTTTAAATCATATCCTAATTCTTCCTGGAAGTGGTTGATGACACAATTGACATTGTCCAGGATGTCAGAGAGTTGGGAAGAAATATCCTACATGGAAGACAGAAGACGATAGTGTTTAGAGGAGGGAACTCTGGAGCCAGATGCCATGTTCTAGTAGTGTGATCTTAGACAAGTCATTTAAACTCCTGGGGCCTCTGTTTTTTCTTATTTATAAAGTGGGGATTATTAAAGTAACTACGTCACAGGGTTTTTGTAAATATTAAGTGAATTAATATTTGTAAAGCACTTAGGACAGTGTCTGGCACATAAAATAAGTAACTTTTATTACTGTCATTTTGATTATTAAGGTCAGAGCCCTGGCCTGGTGGCTCAGTTTGTTAGAGTGCTGTCCCCATACTTAAGGTTGCGAGTTCTATGCCCAGTCAAGGCACATACAAGAATCAACCAGCATAAATAAGTGGAACAACAAATCTCTCTCATCAATAAATAAAATAAAAATATCGCGCGCGCGTGCAAAGACCAGTTTAGAGAAAGAATACTAAAAACCCACAGCAAACATATCTTCAGAACTTAAGAATTTGCTGTGGATGTCTGGACATCTCATAAGGCTCCAGAGGCAAAGGACTGGAAAAATTAGGCTCCAAGAAACTCAGGATCAGAGGCTCCCATAAAAAATGCACTACTAGAGGCTGTCAAGCAGGATGATTTCAGCCTTTGGCCATTTCACTGTGAACTTCTAGGGCTCAGCTTAAGAGATTCTGACAGGTTGCCAAGAACCAACTCCAATTATGAACTCTAGGCCCTTCTCTTGTCTTGCTAGGACCGCCCCCACCCCGCCCCCCGCTCCGCCCCGCCAGCAGGTATCTTAGGGTCATCCTGGAGTTTCCATGGGCTGTTCCCTTCCTGGGCCTAGCCTTGCCTCAGGGAGTGGTTTGACTCTAGCCTGCCCTGGAGAGGCAAAGTCTAGGAGGTGGATGGATATTTTACACTAATCTGTCTACAAACCTAGTTTGCCAAGGATCCCAGGACTCCTGAGGGCCCAGACCTGGATCTTGCCCAAATCTGGATCAGTCCCCAACTGCTACATCAGACTCCCGCAGAAGAGTTTCTCCCTCATCTACAGGGTTACCTCCTGAGCCCGAGTTAGCTGGGCAGCCGTAATCCTCGAGATGATGGCTTTCACTGATGCCGGGGTCACAAGTTGTGGGGGCTCGTCTTTCTCCATTTTGTATCACTTTGTCAGTCACAGAGATGTCCTGTGTCTCTAGTACACAAGTCTGGACATGTGATGTTGTCTGCTTTGGAGTTAAGAGCTCCAGGACAGTTCCTGAGTACCCTGTGCCTAGCCACAGCTCCCAGTAACTGCCAGACATCAGGTTCCAACTGACTTTTTCTCCAGTGACATCATCAGTTTGATTAGGAGAATGACTTCCTGTCATCTATCTGCTTGATTATCTAGCCGATACTAATATATATTACCTTGACCTGTTGCTTTTAAAAAATCATTAAATGTTTTGCTCCTGATTAAGTGTTAATGGCTAAAAATAGGAAAAATAAATCAGAAAAAGCTCTTTCCCAAAGAGAACTTTTAAAAAATTAGAGCTAATCAATAAGTAATGGGAGCATGTTTGCATTTGCACCAGGGATCAGGGCTCAATCAACACTCTCACTTACTGAAGCTGATCATCATTACACGAGGCCTTTTGTAAAGAAATGGTTAAAATGGACAATGGTGTATGGCCAGAACCCAGAACAGTGCCTGGCACATAGTAGACACTTAATAAACACTTGTTGAATGAATATGTGATTAAAAATACATATACATGCAAATTATTCTTCTGTGCTACTGAAAAGTATTCCAATTTAGCAGATAAGGAATTAAAGTAGGTTCAGTTCTTAGAAGTGCCATAGCCATTTAATAACTTGTTATCTGACACCCACCTCTCTTTCACATACTATCATTCATTCACCTACTCAGCAAGATCTGTCTCTAAAGTGCTCCAACCCTGGTTTATGGACACCTGTCTATATATCTGGCAGTGGATGGTCCTTTAATCCTTACAATTTCAGATCATTTTGTAGTTTATAAATAATTTATTTATCCTTACAAATGTGTGAGGCAGCTATAGCTCAGAGGAGTTAGGAGGTTTACCTAAAGCCACAGAGCTGGGAAGTACAGAATCAAGACTTCAACCTGGTTTCCTGACTCCCAATCTAGGGTCCTTTCCTTTCCTCCTCTTCCCCACTTCCTTTCTTCTTTCTTTTAAACCTAACTTACTGATAATTAGATTACATATAAATGACCTAAACATATAAAGATAAAGATTGCAATGTTCAATTAAAACCTAAGATTCAACTATGTGCTATCTACACAAAACACACATTAAATAAAAAGGCACACAAGGGTTAAAAGTAAAAGGAGGGAAAGAGATAAACCATGCTAATACTACAATAATCAAAAGAACACTGGAGTGGCTCTATTAATATCAGATTTTGGAACATGAAATATTAGCAAAGATCAAAAGGGAGGGACTTTCCATATCAATAAAGGTGTTAATTAATAAAGGGGACATAATCCTATATGTGTATGCACCTAATAACATAGCTTCAAAATACATGAAGCAAAGAAACTTATAGAAGTGAAATGGATCAAACTACAATTATGGTTACAGATATTAATATTTCTCTTACAGGAATTGGGTAGAAATAGAAAAAGTGAGTAATGATATAGAAATTTTGAAAAACACTATTAACCAACACAATTCAATCAACATTTATAGAACACTTCACCCAACAATAATAGGACACACATTATTTCCAAACACATACAAAACAATAATCTGGGCCATAAAACAAATATCAATACACTTAAAAAGATTAGAGTCATACAAAATATGTTCTCTGACCACAATGGAATTAAACTATAAATCAATAATTGAGAGATATCTAGAAAATTCCCAAATATTTGTAAATTAAACATACATTTATATAATCCATGAGTCAAAGGAGAAATAAGGAAGAATATGAAATAATTTGAACTGAGTGAAAATGAAAACAAAATTTGTGAGATGCTGCTAAAGCAGTGCTTAGAGAAAGAAACTAGAAAAGGAAGAACAGAGAAACTTAAAGTAAGCAGAAGGAAATAATAAGACTAAGGGTAGGTACCAAAGTCCCCATCCTCACGCAGCAGCTCTCTCCTTCTGGATCTGGGGTGCATTGTCATCAGCTTCTGTGTAATAGTCCAGGAATACATGCACCGTGGTGCACTGGATCATAGTGGAGTCCAGGAAAGACCTAAGTCTCAAGAGCCCAGATAAAGTCCAGGTTTGCATGGCAGCAGGTCAGTGTCTTGCACGGAAGGCTTTGGAGTCAGCTAGAGCAGGCAGGATCAGAGCAGCAATATGTCTCCTTACTACACCAGGCTGCATGGCTGGATCCTGACTACAAACTACATAGTTGCTTGCTTGCTTCTCCCTCTCCCATGGCTGCTACATCATTCCTCCCTCATGGCTTTTCTACTCGCTTCCCCGCTGCATGGCTGAATCCCTCATGCCTGCCACCCTTAGTTTAAATCCTGACCCAGAACTTCCCGCATGACCTCATCCGACTCCTGCAGTGAGCTGCATTTTCCAGTTTTCTGTATAGTTTACATTCATTCAACTGCCATCCCCAGTCAGGGCAAGAGCGATTCGGTGATCAAGGGAACCACTTCCCCTGGCTACCTCAGAATACACCCTTAAAGTCATACCCACCTTGCCCCTTAGCAGAAACACAGCTATCAACAGCTATTAAACTAGCTACCAAGTTGTAAAGTATCTTAATCCTGTCATCTGCTCCCCCCCACCAACCAAGGTCTGTGGTGATTTTCTCCTACTTTCCCAGGGGCACCCCTCACTCACCCTGTACCCCATTACAGTTACGTGACTGTATACATTTGTGAAAATTCACTGTATTGTACACATAAAATTGGTGAATTTTCTTATCTGTAAATTATACCTCAATAAAGCTGATTTTTTAATGTAATATTTTATAATGCATGAGACTGTGGTGGTATTGTGGGCAGGTAGTGCAAGGGGCTGGAAGTTAGTCGGGAAGGTATTGGAAGGTGTAAGGAAATAACCCTTCCTCTTTTCTTGGTGGCAAGTCGTCTTTACTTTCGTTCCTTTTTCCCTTGGGGCTGGGATGCTCCCTCTTCTAAGCTCCTTTCCCGTGCAGCTCTTTGGCCAATAACAACACCTTCACCACAGTTCAAGGGCCAGGAGAGATCAGTAGCCCAGGAAAGAGGTTTGTAAACATTTTTTAAAAAGTGCAGCCAACCCCCTTTCTAAGCAAAGCCTTTCGTAAGACCTTACTGTTTAAAATAGGTAAAAGCAATATCTTATTAGAATGCATTTATATAAGGTCAACTTCATGTTATCTCTGTGTTATAAAATCATTCAATGTCAACAAGTTTTTTTTTTTAAGATTTTGTTTATTTATTTTTAGAGAAAGGGGAAGGGAAGAAGAGAGAGAGAGAAACATCAATGTGTGAGAGATACCTCTTCGATTGACTGCCTCTCTCACACCCCCAACTGGGGACCTGGCCTGCAATCTAGGAACATGCCCAGACTGGGAATCAAACGAGTGACTTTTTAGTTCACAGACTGGCACTCAGTCCACTGAGCCACACCTGCCAGGGACCAACAAGCCTTTTTTGATAAACCCAAAACTTCAATGTGTAGGGCAGTTGTGTATATATTATTTATTTATTTATTTTTAGAGAGGGAAGGGAGGGAGAGCAGGAGAGAAACATTTATGTGCCAGAGATACATTGATCAGTTGCCTCTCGCATACCCCCACTGGGAACCTAGCCCACAACCCAGGCAAGTGCCCTGACTGAGAATCAAACCAGCGACCTTTCAGTCTGCAGTCCGGCACTCAATCCACTGAGCAATGCCAGCCAGGGCTGTGTATATATTTAAACTATTATTGCAAAAAGTTAAAATATATTTAAAGTTTCTGGGTAAAAATTGTAGATTGAACACATGTATCTAATTTGGATCCACTAAAAATACAATAAAACTAGAGCAAAGGGATTTTTTTAAGGTATAGATCCACAAAGACAAGGAAACAGGGCAGGAGACAAAAAAAAAAAATAGCTGGAAAGCATGTGGGTGAGTGGTTACTGACTTAGACTAGAAACAGATGGATCTTAGGGCAGCCATGGGACAACCATATGGCAAAATGGAATTGGTTGTGCCAGATGGCTTACACCCCAAGAGGGAAGTCCTAAAGATGTCGACAACAGAGGTTCCCTGCAGTGAAGCTGTGACCAAGTCCCATCATGTACCTGAACCCACAGAGCACAAACACTTCAATCAGCTTTTAGATAACCCATCCTTAAATGTGAACAGACAACCAAGGATTATAAGACCTCCAAGAAAATAATCTAACTTAAAAGACACTAAAATAACAGGAAAAGAAATTTAGATGCTCTGGCCAGCTAGTTCAGGTTGTTATAACGTCAACCCAGTACAGTTGTGGGTTTGATCCCCGGTCAGGGCACATACAAGAATCAACCAATGAATGCATAAATGAGTGGTAAAACAAATCAATCTCTCTCTAAAATCAATAAATTTTTAAAAAAATTTTAAAGATTATAGAAAACAAAAATTATGCAGAAAGAATAAAACTTAAACAAAACTGTAATAGCTTCAATGATAAGCTATTGCAATGCAAACCAAATGAGATGCTATAAAAATGAATATTCAGAGAATAAAAATAAGGTGAGAGTAATAAAAATCTTTAACATATTGAAAAATTCAGAAGATTTCCCAGTAGAAGAATGGTGGAAGATAAAATTGAAGAAATACCCAAGAAAAAGTAAAAAGATGGAAAGTAGGAAAGAAAAATAAGAAACTAAAAGGAACAGTCTAGCAGATCCATTATCTGAATTACAGGAGTTCCAAAAAGAAAGAACAGAGAGAATGGAAGGGAAGAAACCACCAATGGGATGATTCAAGATTATTTCCCACAAGTGAGGGGCACTGAGTGTCCAGCACAACAAATAGCCTCTCACTAAGAAATAGGACTGCTATTTCAGAACACTGGAGACAAGAAGAAGTTCAGAGGAGGGGAGAAAAGTCACTTACAAAGGATGAGGATTAAAATGCATCAAACTTCTCAAAAATAATGATAAAAGCTTGAAGGTATTGTCACAATGCCTTCATAATTCCCAAGGAAGTCGATTCCCTGCTACATAATCAATCCAGTGTCAGAGTAGAATAATGGCAAAGTCAAACATGCAAAATTTCCAAATAATGTAACATGCCCTGGCTCCAGAAGCTTTTGGAAGATGGTCTCCTCCAAAAAGAGGGAATAAATCAAGAAAGAGAAAGACATGGAATATGGCAAATAAAAGATCCAACAAAGGAGAGAGGAAAAGAAAATGCCCAAGAGAATGAGAAGAGATGCCAGGCTCCCAGATGTTCAGCAAGGATAGTGGATAAATCCTCAGGTTGGAGCAAGTCAGAGGCTCCAAGAGATATGTCTTCAAGACAGTGAAATTAATAGAATTATTTGCTGTATCTAGATATTCTGAGAAGAGATTTACACAACTGAGAGAAGATATTAAGACAGATTTTGTGATAAATACATAGAAGACTAAACAAATGAAAAAAATGAGGCAATTATTCAGTCTAGGAAAAAAATAAAAAATTGTGCAGGAAAGGAAGAGAAATCAAAGTTTTCTACATGGCTCAACTCTGAATGGCATGTGTAGTCACAACGTTGTAAGAAATTGAACTAGCAAAAATTATCAAATTAAACTTGGCAGAAGGGAGATGGGAATTATGTATAAGTGGTGGGGAGAGATGAAGGGGATAAAAATCCTTAAATCTGCCCCTATTATTTGTGGGGGCTAGGGCAGTACCACAATGGAGACTCACATGCTAAATATTTTAATGTTACAAATTAAGCCAACAAATTGTTAAAATACCTTTTCAACTCCTCATTTACAGATATACCCTCATAAGGACTTGGAAGGCCAGGTTCAAATTAGAATTTATGGAATCCACAGAATTCTATGCCAGGAAATAGTAGCCCCCAATCCCTGGCTCTTACCTGACTCCTTTCCCTTCTGTTTTTGCCTCTCTTTTGAATTGAGAGAACCTCAGACAGGGTCCTGTGGACACCCCAGCTTGTGTTCACACCTCTAGCTGCGAAGAACTGTCCTTGGCTACCCTTCAGGTTTAGGGATGCCCACACCATCAGCAAGGTGTCCCTGGCGAGCAGAGATCCAAGGTAGAAGCTGGTACAGGTCCACGGAGCAAGCTGGGCAGGGAATTCCAGGGTCCCAGGTATTCAGAATATGGCATATAAGGGGGTAAGTGGCCTCTGGATAGGCACATCGCCTTGGACTCCTCACTGTGGGGAGGAGGGTTACAGGTATGAAGGTAACCGCCAGAAAGAGTTAGCTTACAATAAATGAAAATGGAGGGGGGGGGGCTCGGCTTTTAACAAATCTAGTAAATTGTTTTGACTCTCTAAAACAGGTGTCTCTGTGTTCTAACAAAATACCTCATAGAGCCCTGGCTGGTGTGGCGCGGTGTATTGAGCACCAGCCTGCAAACTGAAAAGCTGACTGATTCCCAGTCAGGGCACATACCTGGGTTGTGGGCCAGGTCCCCAGTTAGGGGCATGTGAAAGGCAACCTGTCTATGTTTCTCTCCATCCCTTGCCCTCTCTAAAAATAAGTAAATAAAATCTTAAAAAAAAAATAATGAATACCCCATAGGAAAAAGAAAACCTTTAAAAATAAAATCTGGTTGATAAAAATATATGGAACCTCTGAACCATTAATGCTATGCCTAGAGGTCTCAATAATAAAGTCTGAAAACCACAGGACTAGATCCTCATGTGATGCTATCTAGATATTGTGATGAAAAACCACAATGAAGTTTGTCTCTACAGTGGCCCCCAAGAATGAATCCCTCTTCCTTACGTCTACTTCGCGTTGTTTTCCTACCTCTCCCGTTAGACTCTGAACTCCTTCCAAGCAGAGACGCAGTTCAGAGTTCTTTGTATCTCCAGCACCTAGCATTGTGCCAAGCAGAGAGTAGAGGCTTAGCTAAGTGTGGATGGATAAAGGCAAAAGGAAGCTACTTTACCCAGGCTTTGGAGGGAAGGTGTTTGATCTCTTTCTGCATTTTGTATGCCTGAAGCCCTGTCAGTTACTAGCCCTGGCACCTTCAGCATATTCATTAAATAGCTTTGGGTTATAATTCCCTTACCTGCGAAACATAGTATTTATGTCACATCTTTAACTCCTATAAAAGATTGGGTCCCTGCTCCAAATCTCAAAAGAACTTGAGGGTCATGTGAGAAGCCCCTGTACGCCCCTTGACCGCCGGGATTTCGGGGGTGGAGGAGTCGGGGGAAATCTGCTTTTTTCCCCAACTGCTCAACACCCAGTGCCTAGAACAGTTCCTGGCACATAAACAAGTGTTCAATAGTTGTTGGATGGATTAATTAAAAAGTACTAAAAATAACTGCATCGAATAAAAACACGATTTGTGAAGTGCAAAGATAGCCTATACTCGGAATAAATACTTCGGTTCAGCCCCTGATCCTGGGAGCGAGCGCCATGCGGGACAGACGCGCTAGCCGAGCCGCGAAGGCCGGGAAGTGGCTGGCCGAGGTCTGGAGGTGGCTGGTGGGAAGGGAGGGAAGCCAGAAGAGTTGGCGACGCGCGAAGAGTGCGGAGAGCTCTCGGGATCCAGAGCTCCAGCCGCTTTGTGCGAACCGGCGGCTGCACTTCGGCGGTCAGTCCGCACAGAGGAGGTGCGCCCCACCCACGGTGGGCGGGCCCTGGACCTAGCGCGGGGGCGGGGCCTGGCTCTCCGCGCCGGGGGCGGGGCCGAGCTTGGGCGCTCCGGGCCGGTGCTGGGCCCGGCTGGTCGACGGGAGCGACCGGAGCCCCGGCCACCAAGGGGTGCGACCCCCCACGGGCCCCGCCTTCCCGACTGTGGCCTGGCCAATCAGAGAGGCTTTTACTGGCGGGTGGGCCTAGCCGGCTCAGCTGCTCCGAGGCTCTGGCATGGTAACGTCCTCGCGCGGGGGTGGAGGGGCCCGGGGCGGTCCCTTTGCGCCCCCCGCGGCCCGTGACGGGGCCGGGGAGGCCGGCGGGGTACGCAGGATCCCGGGGGAGGGAGAGGGGCATGAGGGGTCAGGGCGAGGAGCACAGTAAAGGGGAGGGGGTCGGGGATTTGGGGAGAAGGGGTGGGGGAGGCCATGATGGAGGATGGCGGGAGGGGGGGTGTTGAAGGGAATGAGAGTTGCGTGACTGTGTGAGGAGGCAAAAGGAAAGAAGTGAAGGATGGGCTTGTGGAGAAAGGTCGCGAAAGAAGAGAGGAGGCAGGGGATGTGGAAATTGCAGGACAAGGGGAGAGCTGGGGGCCACAGTCTCTTCTCCTGGGATATTTGGCGTGCGCCATGCCCCTCCCCCAGACTCGCTTGTTCCCTTGGGAAGCTGTGTATACCCCTCAAGACCTCTTGGAGACCTCCTCTTTCATTTCCTCACCTTGTCTCCTGAGATGAGGAGGGGGCAATGTCTCCAGAGGAAAGGCTTCCGGCCCCAACCCAGTGCTGGATAGTCCAAGAAATAGGAAAGCAGAGGCCCCTTGGTCCCAACCTTGCTCTACCATCAATAAACTGTAACAACTCCGTGTGACCTTGGGCAAGTCACTACCTTTCTTTGGGCCTCAGATTTCCTACCGATGGAAAAAAAAGGGGGGGATGCCTAAGAACGACAGCCTAGATCTCTTCTAACTCCAAAATGGAGTGGTTCTTGAGAGATTTCAGGGGTCTAGGGTGTGGGGAAGCAAAAGAAAGGATGAAGATGGAGGCAGGCCTTCAACTGGGGCTGCAGAAGATCCCCAGGGATGTAGGGGTGGGGATGGTAGGCACACAGCCTGCAAGGCTGGGGCAGGCCAGCCAGGGCCTTTGGAATCCTGGTGGAGGGATGGAAGAACTCCCTATAAGTAGGGGAGGAGGAGGTTGAGGCCTAACCCAATAAAGGTGAAGACCAGAAGTAGCATTCTGTTCTTCAGAGGGAGAAAGATTAAGATGGCAGGATCAGAGAGAAGCAGTGGAAGATGTTTTCTAATAAAACAGTATCTTTGCAAGCAGGGGGAATAATGAGGCTGGTATAGGAGAGCGGGGACTAGGATGGTCTTGAAGACAAGAGGGAAGACTGAAGAAGGGCAGCGTGTAGACAGATCACAGGATAATCAGTGTCTCTCAGCCTCTATGATACTTTTATTTTTTGGTGATGACTACCTGTTTCTGAGAGATGTGCCTTTCAGGCTTCATTTACCAACACAAATCTCTTCAGGGAGTGAGCCAGACCAGGTCAGTCTTGGGATCACCTAGCTGTCTGAGGATTGCAGGGTCGTATGAGGATTGGGAAAGAAAACAGAATGAATTTGAGTGTAAGAAATGCCCGTGGCACCGTTGTCCTTGCTGGGAGGAAGCTTTGTGAAGTAGTTGAAAGCTCAGGCTTTGGGGTCAAACTGCTTAGATTCCAAACCTGTCTCTGCCATTTAATCTCTTTGAATCTCAGTTTCTTTATGTATAAATGGGGATCATGACCTCTAAGATGGTTGTGAGGATTAAATGTTTGTCATAGTATCTGGTTCATAATCAGCTCTCAATAAATATTTCCTATTAGCTGTTATTCCCACTTTCCATTCTCCTTTCTGTTCCTCCATTCTTGTCCTTTTTTTCTTTTGTCTTTCTTCTGAGTCTTCAATTCTGAGATGACCTTTAGATGTGGAGGCTGAGAAGAATTGATTGCATCTTGGGGGTCTCTCCACTGGTCCTGGTGAACATATGATAATCAGATGATCAGTTGTCACTTCATCATCTACCCCCAGCCCACAAATGTGTTTTTGTTCCCAGAAAGACACAGGATCTGCTTCTCTTTCAGTCCCCTTTCCTATATCCCTTTCTTGGACAAGTGAGTTCTTCAGCTTCTCGCCAAGAGGTGTAGTAAGATATAAAGTTGTGTAGGCACTTCAGCAAATGGGATGGGGGAAGGGATGTTTGAGGAAAGAAGGAAAGTATGCACATCACACAGGAGAGGCTTGGGAAACAGAGAGCTTTGGAAGTTCCATAGAAATTTATGTTCATTCCATTGCTCTGTCCTCTGTCCAAAAACAGACCAGTGTCTGGGTCCTTGCCAGGGGTCTCCATTCCAAGGTAAAGATGGTCATATACACTTAGTTTTTCATTATTTAGGTTTTCCCAAGCCAGTATTTGATTCCATTTTCCTTTCCGGTCACACAGATCTCTGCCAAGCTGCCTCTCTGTCTCACAGCCTTTACCCAAAGAATTTATGCAAAAGTATCTGGGCTCATGTATACACACACATACTTACTTGCCTTTTTTAGGATATTCTAGTAGGCAAACATCTAATAAGGTTAAGGGTGAGTCTGCATTTTATCATACCACTTTGTGTGCAGGCCCTGACTAGACACTTGGAGGAAGCTTAAAAAGAGAAAACTCAATCCCTGAATGTAGAGAAGTCCCCAACCAAGTAAGGAGACAGGCAGTCCCACATGAAACACCCAACAAACATCCACAGAGTAGCATGTCACTTGGCACAAAGCAGTGCAAGAGGTGTGTATGTGTGAATGATAGTCATAAAGATACCCTGAAGAAGGTGAATATTGGATCATCTTAAACAAAGTGAGAAACAGTGGAATAAAGAAACACGGAGTAATCTATGCAGAGGAAGAGGGAAGCCATTGAATCAGAAGAAGCTAAGAAGAGGTATGGCATGGGCCTTGTTGAAAAACTTTGAATGTTAGGTAGAGATTCTGTAGGGTGGGCAATAGGGAGCCAGTGCTAATTGTCCAGCAAGAAAATGTTGGGTCCTTGTTGATTTAACTACCACATGGGTTGCAGGGGATATGCTGGAGTAAGAAAACAGACCTGCTTTCTGTGGCAAGGACTGTGCTTTTTTAAAAAAATAATTTTATTTTTAAAGATTTTATTTATTTTTATTGAGTGGGGGGGTGGAGAAAGAGGGAGAGATACATTGATGTGAGAGGAGCGTAAACATTGATCGGCTGCCTCTTGCACACACCCCAATGGTGGACTGAACCTGAAACGCAGGAACGTGCCCTGACTGGGAATCAAGTGGGCGACTTTTAACTTTGCAGGACAACACCCAACCAACTCAGCCACACTGGTCAGGGCGGTGCTTTTTATTTATTTACTTATTTTCTTAGTTTTAATTTATTGATTCTAGAGAGAGAAGAAAGGAGAGAGACAGACATCAATTTGTTGTTCCACTTAGCCATGCATTCATTGGTTGATTCCAGTATATGCCCCCAACCTGGGATCAGACGCACAACCCTGGTGCATCAGGGTGACGTTCCAACTGAGCTACCTGGCCAGGGCTTTTGAATTTATTGAAGCGACATTGGTTAATAGGGTCATATAGAAAGGACTGTGCTTTTAAGGGAAGAGGGCTGGAAGGCCGATCAGGTCCAGTCCCAGCTCTCTCCTTAAGCAGCAGTAGGACCTTGGATTCGTTATTCCCCCTTAGTTTTCTTATCTGAAAAAAGGAGACTACCTTAGGTGGTTGCCAGAATCCCCTCCCCATCACTGACATTCTCTGTTCCCTGAATTGGTAGGTCTTACCAATGGCTTTGTTTTGTGGGATTTGTCAAGACTGTTTAGTCATTAAGTCAACAAGTGTTTGTTAGCACCTACTGTGTGCCAGTAGCAGATAGTGAGGAAAATTCAGTGGGGATAGGATATCGGGGTGAGCAAAGATAGATAAAATCTTGCCCCTTAGAGTTTTCAGCCTAGTGGAGGCCACAGATGTTTCATTGATTCTAAGATCACAATCTAATATTTCTGAAGTCAATATGTATCTTATAATCAGTAGAGTAACGTGACTTAATTGGCCACATTTGTTCTTAGTGCCACATAATAGTAAATCAGAATTGTACAAATAACTAAAATTCCAATGGATAATTGCTGAAAGGAAAGGTACATGGTGTGCGAGCATGTGAAGGAGGATGCTGAGTGGCCCACTGGGTTGGGAGGGAAGCTTTTCTGACGAAATGGTCACTAACAGATGTGAAGGATATGTACGCGAGATGTGTGGGGTTGGTGGGAAGATTACCCCACACAAAAGTGGGTGCTTGACTGGAGAACTGAGAGAAGGCGAGTGTGGACACAGACCCAGGAGCTCAGCGGGGAAGAGGCTGCCAAGGCAGTTGAACAAATCTCCCACAGCCTCCCAGGCTCTGGGCAGGGGTTTTGGTCTTTACCCTAAGAACGCAGGGAAGCAACATGGTCTGAGGCGCATTTTGATGAACATGTTATGGCTACAGATTGGAGTGGATGGGGGGATACCAGGTGAAAGGGGTGGTAGGTTTGGAGGAGGAAATGGAGAAGAGTAGATGGATTCAAGAAATCCGTAGGAGGTAGCCCTGACTGTGTAGCTCAGCGGATTGAGTGCCAGCCTGCAAACCAAAAGGTTGCTGGTTCGGTTCCCGGTCAGGGCACATGCCTACATAGCGGGCCAGGTCCCCAGATGGCATGTGAGAGGCAACCAATGGATGTATCTCTCACACTTCAATGTTTTTCTCCCTCTCTTTCTCCCTTCCCCTCTCTCTGAAAATAATTAAAAAAAAAAAAAATCTTTAGGAGATAAAGTTAGTAGGACTCCATGATGATGCATGGAAAGGAAAGGGGAATTGTGAAGAATGACTCTCACGTTTCTTTTTATTATTATTTATTTATTTTTAGAGAAGGGGAAGGGAGGGAGGGAAACATCAACCATAGTTGCCTCTTGCCCAACCCAGGCAATGTGCCCTGAGTGGGAATCGAACCAATGACCCGTTGGCTTGCAGTCTGGCAGTCAGTCCACTGAGCCACACCAGCCAGGGCGACTCACGTTTCTATTGTGGATAGCTGGTGGCAGCAATCTCTGATATGGGCAATGGCTGGAGCCTGGTAGGACCCAAAGATGGTTACATAGTATCTGGAAGGGTAGAGAGGACCCTAAGGCAGCATGAGGTGGGAACGAGTGGCACAAAGAACAGGATTCTTTCCATGTTGATTAGCTTCTGCCTTCTCGTGCTAAGGGAAGTTTTAGGGGGCAGGAGCCGGTCTGATACAGGGCTAAAGGAGTTGAACACTGAGAAGAGGTGATTCAAGTTGGAGTATTTTGGCTTATCGTCATCTTGCCTTAGGACAAGATGGGCAGGAAGAGAGGAAGCACAGATATTGCTAAAGGTAGAGATTAGAAAGTAGTTTTTTAAAAGCTGAGACTTCTCAACATAGGGATAATTGGAGAAGCAGGAAAATTGGGCCCCAGAGAGGTGGCTTCTGGAATCTCCTTCCCCTGGGTTTCTTCCCTACCACCCTCCTCCTTTCAAGCAAAGAGGAGGAAGGTTAGGCCTTTAAACTGCACCTCCACACCACAGTTTGCTTAAGAAAAATAATTTTATTTGAATGGGTGACAGACATGGGTGCATATTCAAAAGTAACAAAAAGGCACATAGGGATAAACCTCTCCAACTTGGTCCCCCTTCCACCAATTTTTTGCATGTCATCTTTTGTGTCCAGTTTTTAAACAAGTGATAAAACTTTGCAGCACTTTGCTCTGCCCCCCCCCCCCCGCCATTTGTTAATATATCTTACAGGTTGTTTCATATCAAGACAGCTGCTTCATTCTTTTTTCTGACTGCATGGTATTCCATTTTATGTTTGTGTGTAATTTCATAGTTCCGTATTGGTGGATATTTAGGCTGATTCCAATCTTCCATTTTTACAAATAATGCCTAAATGGGAACTTTGTATAGACATCATTTTGGCCAATGTGGGGCTTTATTTATAGAATGAACATTTAGAATTAGAGGGTTCTACAAAGAGAGTTTTTGTTCTCTAACTTGTCATTCATCCATTCAGTATTTATTGAGTGTCCCTTATGTGCCAGATACTGTGGAGGTGCCAGGAATCCAGCTTTCAACAAGCCAGACACGATTCCTGCCCCCGTGGAATGTTATTATCCTCTATTAAGGGGAAACACAAAAGGGGACTAGATAGAGAATAAATTGGACGGATATGCTTTAAACAGAGCCAGGAAGGCTTCTTAGAGCAAGTGATATTTAATCTGAGAAAGAAAGGATGGGATGCGGCCAGCCATTAGGTGCAGGGTGGGGAGGCCTAGGCTGCTCAGAGCCTCCCCACAGGAAGAGGAGTTCAGGATCTGTAGGGGAGGGGGAGTAGAGCTAAAGAAATGAGGGAGGTGATTGGGAGGGGATGATGTCAAAAAGTAAGTGACTAAAGATGAGGCCAGATTGGGGGTAGGGGCGCTGGTAGCTGGAGAGAGTACAGTTAGGGAGGCTGGTACTTAGGAAGGGCTCTAGTTATTTGTAATTAGAGGGATTTGGTATTGAATCTCTGTACCTGGGTGAATTCGGGTGGGGCAACAGGAAAAGAGGCCACTTCTTTCCTGGATACTTTGTGAATGAGAGGCCACAGTTTAACTGGTTTGTGGGAGGCACAGCCTTGGCCACAGGCAGGAGAGCGGATGAAACGCCTTGGGCAGAGCCAGTCTTCCTGTAGCACAGCCTCCTCCATCTTTTCTGTGGCTTCAGCAAAATGGAAACTTCTATTGGTAACATAAAGATGACATTGAAGGGGCTCAGCCAGCTGGCTCTGGGCTGGTGGAAGAGAGAGCAGACCTACCCAGAGCTCAGAGCTGGAGTTGGGCTGGAAATGGGTCTTAGATACCCTTCCTCTGAACTTTGTTCTCCTTTTTTATCCTTACCCTCTGCTTCCCTTTTGCTCCCTTTTGCAAAAGCCCAGCTCTTTGCCCATCCTGGGTCCTATGACTTTTCTCTCCCTCAACAGTCGGTTCCCGATTCTGGTCCCCGGCCCCCAGCAGCGCCTGCCCCCTTCCCACCGGGGCCCCCCATGATGCCACCACCCTTCGTAAGTTTTATGTCTTCCCCTGGGCTTGGCTTTTCCAGCCTGCACCCCTAATTCCAAAGTCCCTAGCACTGCTGCACGGTTTTTGTGTAAAAAACCCCTTCTGCTGCCCTTAGAAGAGGGATGGTTTTGCTGGGGTATTGGGGTGGGAGAGGCTGCTGTTCAGCTCTCCGTTCATAAAGTAGACAGTTTCCCCTTTGTCTTTTTGTCCTTGGGACACACTGGGGCTGGGGTAGAGGTAGAAGTGGAAGGGAAAAGACCCCGGGAATGTGAGGGCAGGGTGGGCTCTCTTTCTCTTTCACTGCTCCTTGTCTGCATACTTTCAATATGCCACAGAAGTCAGGCTGGACTAGCAACCGATGGTCACTGAGTTGGAGAAAAAGGGGTGGAAGGCAGGGGACTAGGGATTTGGGTACCTGAACACCTGCCTCCTGGCCCTGCATCTGAGGCCTCTTTGGGGAGAGTTGCTGAAGAGGTGGAGCCTTCCAGACGAGGTCTGGTGGTGGTTATACTTTGCTTTTCCTTCTTCCTTCCCTGTCTCTCAAGAAGCTGTGTGTTTGCCTGCTAGACCCACAGGACCCCCCAGTTTCAGTCTTTCTCAGTGGTGAGGAGGGAGGCGGCTTCATACTGTGTGCTTCCCAAACTAAAGCCTTGGAATTGCCTCAGAGCCAGGGTGGAACGTCTGGGTGGGAGACAAGTGGATGTTTCCTGCCAGGTCCAAGGCAGTGTCTTCTCTGCTCATTATCTCTTCTGTTCCTCACTTCCAGATGCCCCCTCCAGGAATCCCCCCGCCTTTTCCTCCGATGGGGCTACCCCCCATGAGCCAGAGACCACCCGCCATCCCCCCCATGCCGCCCGGCATCATGCCCCCCATGCTCCCACCAATGGGGTCGCCGCCGCCACTCACGCAGGTAATCTTCCCCCCTGTTGCAGGGCCTCAGAAAACCTGTCAGTTGATCTGGGGATAGAGATGAGAGTGGGGATCTGGACTTCAGAAACTGGGGAGGCGTGGGGGAGCCTTGCGACGGGCCCACGAGGATCTGTCCGCTGCGTGACGGGAGAAAACGCTCAGGCTCGGCTGGAAGCGCAGACCCTCGGGCCTGCCTGAGGGGGCGCCCACGTCAGGGTCAGGCCCCAGCAGAATCCCGGCGGACCCTGCCCAGCCTTTGCCTGCCCCACCTCAGGAGCTGGTTTTTGTCTTTGTACCATAGATACCAGGAATGGTACCTCCCATGATGCCAGGAATGCTGATGCCAGCGGTGCCTGTCACCGCAGCGGTAAGCACTGGGGCCAGCAGGACGCAGCTCCGCACTGCAGCGCTGTGGGTCTGACTGGAGTTCAGGGATGTGACCTCCATTCTTCCCCTCTTCTCATTGGATCGATGCTGGTCCCTGTCAGCTCTCCCCACACTTGAGTCCTCCTGTCTGGCCATGTACTCAGCCCTTCCTGTTTCTCATTCATCCCCCAAAGCATATACATTCTCTCCTGTTACTCTCTGCTGTGCCCATGTCTCGTAAGAACACATTCATGCCAGGCACTGCTTGTCTTCACAGAGCTAGCACTGTGGTCACTTAAATGCAGTCCCTTCTTCACATCTTTTTTGTCTCTGGAGGAAATAACAGCACCTGGGGATCTTGCTGTACTTCTTGTGCCGTTGCTCAGTGTAGTAGAGTCTGGGTAGCATGTAGCATTTGGCATCCACTGTGGAAGGGATGGGCCTCAACAAAATACCCTCATTTGAGGAAAGTGAAGAAATGAGTTGCTGCGTGATTCCCCCAGGGATCCTAGAGCCACGGCCCCTGCGGGTGGGGGAAGCGTGTTAGGTAGCAGAGATCCCCGAGAGCAGGACACATGGATCTTGGCCTGGCCTGCTTCTCCATCCCCCACGGCCTGGGGCCTGGGAGCCACTGGGCTTGGCCCCAACCCTTCCCCCTCCTCTTTCTTCGGCAGACGGCTCCAGGTGTGGACACCGCCAGCTGTGAGTCTTCTGGGGGCCTGCTCCCCCCAGGCTCGGAGGTTGGGGGGTACAGGGGAGAGGGGACTAGAGTCCACCCTGGATCATGCCTGTTGGGATGCCAGTGTTCTTGGGATGTTGATGGGGCCAGGGGATATATATTGGGGATGGAGTAAGGGAGGAATAGGTGGGAATAAGATGGAGGTTGGAACGAGGCCTTAGTGTCTTTCCTTTGGCTTCTTTTCTAGCTGCTGTGGCTGGGACAGGCCCTCCGGTGAGTTTTTCTAGCTCAGGGATCTCTGGGTAGAAAAGCTGAAAGTGGGGGGCTAATGGTTCAGTCTTTGGGGTGAGAAGCAGCTTTGGGAAAAGGGCCTTGACCACCCTTCTGTGCACCCCTCCCCCAGAGGGCCCTATGGAGTGAGCATGTGGCCCCTGATGGGCGCATCTACTACTACAATGCTGACGACAAGCAGTCCGTGTGGGAGAAGCCCAGCGTGCTCAAGTCCAAGGCAGAGGTCCTGAGTGGGGCTTTCTGGTCCTTCCTTTCAGCTGCCCTGACCGTTGCAAGTGCTTGGTCTTCCCTGAGTCTGTAACCATACACATTATGGTTCCTCTCAGCCCAAGATCCCTGACCACCCCAACCTCCCTAGGATCTCAGAAAGTCCACCTTCCCTCATGTTGAGCCAGGCCAGGTGGTAGCTAAAAAGTCCTGTGTCCCCTACTCACTGGGTCCTCTTAGCTCCTTCAACTGTGGCTGGACGGCGTACCCAGCCCATTAATGTCTTCTGACCCGTCTTCTTACAGCTTTTGCTGTCCCAGTGCCCCTGGAAAGAGTATAAGTCGGACACAGGCAAACCTTACTACTATAACAACCAGAGTAAGGAGTCCCGCTGGACCCGGCCGAAGGACTTGGATGACCTGGAGGGTGAGGATGGGGCGGGCCAGGGCAGGGGCTCTTGGGGGGATGGCCTTCGCTACCCTGTGACCATGTTATCTTTTCCCATTGCAGCTCTAGTCAAACAAGAGGCCATAGGGTGAGTACCTTGCCTGCTTGTCCCGCCTATCCATCCATACTTGGGGCCACCTGAGGGGTGGGAACGGACTCTCCGCATGATCCCTGCTCTATGGAAGGAAGAGCCAGCTCTCGGTCTCCTCGTACAGTGGTCTACTCTGGCCCCAGTCCTTCTCAGGGTAGAGGGTCTGGCCAGCCCCTGACCACCTCTCTCCCTGCTTCCCTCCTGGACACTGCCCTTCCGGCTCTCCTGCAGGAAGCAGCAGCAGCAGCAGCCACAGACACAGCAGACTCTACAGCCGCAGCCTCCTCAGCCACAGCCTGACCCCCCGCCTATGCCTCCTGGCCCCACCCCAGTGCCTGTGGGCCTCCTCGAACCGGAGCCCGGCGGGAGTGAAGATTGCGACGTGTCAGATGCCGCCCAGACCTCGGAGCCGGGGTTCTTGCAGCAGCCAGAGGACGGCCCCAGCAGGTGAGGCTGCCCCCACAGCACCCTGGATGCCAGCCTCTTGGGGAGGGTGTGGAGATCTGTTCGTGACCTCTGAAAGGCAGGCAGGGGCTGCCCTGGGGAGCCAGAAGGGAGTGGTTTGCTGTTAATCACCCAGGGCATTGAAACCTGTGGGAACTGGGGGGTGCTATGGCTGTGAGTCTCCTTTGCCCCCCAGTTCTGCTGGACAGCATCAGCCACCACAACAGGAGGAAGAGGAATCAAAGCCAGAACCAGAGAGGTCTGGCCTCAGTTGGAGCAACCGGGAGAAGGCAAAACAGGCCTTTAAGGAGCTGCTGAGGGACAAGGTGTGACGGATGGGGCTTCCAGGATAGGCCTGGAGGGGATTGGAGGTGGCCAGGCCCTGTGACACCCACCCGCTTCATTCCAGGCTGTCCCCTCCAATGCCTCATGGGAACAAGCCATGAAGATGGTGGTCACCGACCCCCGTTACAGGTAGGCCTGGGTAGAGGGAGCCAGGCCCTCCAGACCCTGGTGATGAGAGCGGCTGGGCCAGGGGCTCCCTGAGAAACCCCAGCTTAACACTGAGACCCCCAGGGGCCAGAGCCAGGAGAGCGGTAGGTGGGTGAAGGCTCGAGGGGAAGAGAAGCTATGGAAGGCCTCCAGGAGGAGGGGAAGGTATCTGACATGAGACATTCAATAAATCTTGTTGAATTGATATGAATTAATGGGGGAAAGGGGGCAGGATAGGGCAGGTCCCTGACTGCCATTTCATTATCCCCAAGGCATGAGGGCCGAGCACCATCAGTGTCCTGGAACCCGTCTCCTTCCCTCTCTACCTCTCAGCCCTCCCCACGTCCCAGAGAGCTTTCTGGCCTCCTGGAGCCCCTGCAGCCTGCTGTACCCATGCACGGACCCCTCGCTCGGTTCTGTGGAGACCTGTGTCCAGTGTGCCCTGACCCACAGGGTTCAGGCTGACTCCTCTCTTCCCACCCCAGTGCCTTGCCCAAACTGAGTGAGAAAAAGCAGGCATTCAATGCGTACAAGGCGCAGCGGGAGAAGGAGGAGAAAGAAGAGGCCCGGCTAAGGGCCAAGGAGGCTAAGCAGACCTTGCAGCACTTCTTGGAGCAGCACGAGCACATGACCTCCACCACCCGCTACCGGTCAGGGGCCTGGGCTGGGGCAGGGCTGGGGAACCCCGGGAACACCTCTGCCAGGGTCTCTGCTGTCCGCCTGCCTACCCACAGCCCATGTGCTCCACAGGCGGGCAGAGCAGACCTTTGGGGAGCTGGAGGTCTGGGCTGTGGTCCCTGAGAGGGATCGAAAAGAGGTTTATGATGACGTCCTCTTCTTCCTGGCCAAGAAGGAGAAGGTAATAGTCACCGGGTTGGATTTGTCAGCCCTGGTGTCATCTTAGACTCTTCATGTCTTTGCTGTTTTTGGACCCTGGTCATTCATTTCTCTGATGCCTCACAGTCCTAGCTCCTTACTCTGAAGCTGCTGTGGCACTTACACATCCCTTCATTTTTCCTCTGGGGCCATAACCCCGGGCATGGGAGGGCAGGAAGGACTCTGCAGGGCTGGTCTATAAACTGCATTCCTTCCTTTTTCTGGGGACATGAAAGCCTTGTGCCTGGCCTTCCTAGGGTTCCCTAGCTACCTTTCCCCAAAATCCTCCTCTGCTCTGGCTCACTTAAGTACCTCTGGCCTGCTCTGCCTCACACTGATCCCGTGGCTCCCCAGGAACAGGCCAAGCAGCTCCGGCGCCGCAATATCCAGGCTCTGAAGAGCATCCTGGATGGGATGAGCAGCGTCAACTTCCAAACCACATGGTCCCAGGCCCAGCAGTACCTCATGGATAACCCCAGCTTTGCTCAGGACCATCAGCTTCAGAGTAAGCCTGAGTCTCCATTTGGGCCTGCCCTTCCCCTTTCTTCCTGGCTTCCCATCGCCTGTCTCACTCACACATCTCCCCCATGTGACCTCGCCTCCTGCCCTCCTGGACTTCCAGGAGCCCCAGCACTCTGGAGATCCCAGAATGCTCAGGGCACCCTCTCCCTCCGGGGTCCGCTGTTGACCTGGAGATTGCGTGCCCTTGGAGGAAGAGCTTGGGGTGGGAATTAGACGACCTAGAGATGATGACTTTCACAGCTGATGTGAATTGTCTTAACTTGTCATGGCACTGTGGACATCAACTGGTCACACGTTACAGTAAGCTGTCAGTGGCCTGTAATCATTGGCAATATCAGAAATTCACCTTCTGAAGTTGCATCAAAGCCTGATTGATTTCCAGTTTCATAAACTGAAACCTTAGATCCCAAGAGAACTGATTTCATAAACACTATGACTTTGGTACCTAAATTTATAAGAGCTGAATTCTTGCTGATTTTTTCTCATACAATTAGTGGTCCCTCCTCAAGAACAACCGTTCAGCACCCTCTCTCCCAGAGCCCTCTGTTCACCTGGCCCCACCGCCCTGGCTGTCCCCAGCACCTACAGGGACAGCATCCTCGAAGCAGTGGGGTTGCTGGGGACTGAGAGGGTGTCCTGCTGGTGCAGTGCCTGCTGAGCCTCCTCTCTGTGGTTAGACATGGACAAGGAAGATGCACTGATCTGCTTTGAGGAGCACATCCGAGCTTTGGAGAGGGAGGAGGAGGAGGAGCGGGAGCGGGCCCGGCTTCGGGAGCGGCGCCAGCAACGCAAGAACCGGGAGGCCTTCCAGGTACTTTGCCGCCCCCTGGATCAGAGCTCAGCTCTGCTCTGGACCACAGCCTCCTCGCCGGGGCCCCCGCCTCCTTGGTCAGGCCCACTGTTTTGCCTGTGCCCAGCCTTGTGCCACCTCCACAAGGCCTCTTTATGCCTGCAGGTCTCCCCTGCTGTGTCCCCTCAATTGGCCTCGCCCCTCTAGGGAGATGAGATGTACCCGTCACCTGGAAGCTGTCAGGAGAGAGCACCCTAAAGGCACAGCTTGGCAGTTAGGCTGCGTGTTCACCGTTGGTGGGGGCCAGGCAGGCAGAGTTCGGAGGTGGCAGTGGTGGTGTAGTAGTGGGGGCTGCTTAGCTGTAACACACAGGAAATTGAAACCAAGTCATGGGAAGATTGTGCTGCAGGCAGGTTTGTTTCTTTGCCTCCCAGCCTGGCTCACTCTCATGTTCTAGTCTGTCCCTCTCTATAGGTACATCCTCTTCTTTTGCATTGCTCTCTGCCTCCCTGGCCCACATTTCCTCGGTCTGGATTGTCCCTGCCTCCCCTCCCGCCCCGTCCTCCTCCCCAGTCTTCGGCTCTGCCTCCCTCCGTGTCTCACTCTCTATATAACTGGCCTTTCCCTGCTCAGACCTTCCTGGACGAGCTGCACGAGACAGGGCAGCTGCACTCCATGTCCACCTGGATGGAACTGTACCCAGCGGTCAGCACTGATGTCCGCTTTGCCAACATGCTGGGCCAGCCGGGTAAGGCAGCTGGGCTCCCCTTCTCTGGCCTGGCTTCCTGCCCCGCCGGCCTCTCTGCACCCCCGCTCTTGGGGCCTGTCCTTGACCCCACCCCCAGGCCTCGGGAAGCTGCTGCCTGCCAGGCCCCCCTCCCTCCCTCCCCCACAGGCTCCACCCCTCTGGACCTGTTCAAGTTCTATGTGGAGGAGTTGAAGGCCCGATTTCACGATGAGAAGAAGATCATTAAGGACATCCTTAAGGTGAGGGAGGCCTGGGGCTGTAGGTGCACGCAGGCTGGGTGCAGGGGCACACTCCCTGGGCAGGACTCCCTGGTAAGCCCTGTTTCACAGGAGCGTTGCAGCTCAGTTCAGCAAGTATCTACTGTGACCCTTTACTGTGCATTGGGGACACAAAAATGAATAAGAAACCATTTCTGCCCATAAGGAGCTCATGGCCTAATAGGAAGATAGATGTGACAGCTGTTACACAGAGGGGCAAGTGTTACTACAGAAGAATAACACTTTCCAGAAGGCAAGTAAGAATCAGAAGAATTGACCTTTGAAGAGTAGGTGGAGGCGGTGGAGGCGCTGGGTGAGGGGACTGCAGGAGTGCGGGCGGGGGCGGGCGGGGCGCGGTGGGTTTGAGGGCAGGAGCGCAGTCCGACAGGCAGCGCACGGATGCGTTCCTTCTGGTCTGTACAGTGTTTTAGGGAAGTTTGGCATTTTTGCTAACATTTTAAGATCATGAGATTATACACATCTTAAACTTCTCTTGGAAATTTAGATAATCTAGTGGCACTGAGCTGGTTTCACAAAGAATTCTCTGGGCTCCAGCTGAGATGCCCGTGCCTTGTAGAAGGGGCACGTCACCCTTATCTTCACCTCCCTGCCATGGCAGCGAGTGCAGCTGGCCCTTGCCATCACACGCACACGCTGCTTTTCTCACACTGGAGAAATAGTTCTGCATATCTGTGTCTGTCAAAGGTGGGAGAGTGAGCGATGGACTGAGAGAGCCTGTTTCTGATGAAGAAAACAAAGTGTATTTCTTTGTACAAGTGCAGGACATGCTAATGCATCAGAGGAGGCAGCAGGCATAGTTGTTAGGAGCATGAGTGTGGGGGCAGACTGCCTGGGGTAAGAGTCCAGCTTCGCCACTTACTAGCTGTGTGCCTGTGGGCAGATTACTTAACCTTTCTGAGCCTCAGTGTCGTCCTCTGAAAATTGGGAGTTTTCCACCCAAGTATACCTAATTTCCAAGGGGAGTGACTTGGCACCAGAGGTCAGAAGGACTGAGAATAAAGCTAAAAAATGTCACAGCACACACACATTTCATGTGTTTTGCCTCATAAATTCATGCAGGCATTACATTTTAATACTATATTAATTCTGTTTAATATAAACATAACATTTAAAAATTGCTGACCTTAAGTAAGACATATCATATTGTCCCGTGGCTTCCTTTATTTCTCTGAAACCACATGTCCCCATTTGGAAGTGGAGCCCTGTGTGTAAATTCCTTGAATGCTAAAATAAGAAGTTTGGATTTTTATCTTGTAAGTAATGATAATGGGAATGCTCTGGTCAGACAATGTTTTGTGGAATCCCTGGTAAGAGGGTAGGGTAGTACCTTTCAGACTGAGTGTTGTATCCTAAGGATAGTACCTGAAGCTTGAGGACACTAAAATGGTAGTAGCAAGTAGTTCAAATAAATTTGGAGCTGTGCCATCCTCTCCTGACTCCCGCCAAGACCACCGTCGCACTGCTGGGGCCATGTGGTAAAAATGTGCGGGCAGCCCTGGGTTCTCAAGGCTGGGTCAGAGGTGAGCAGGGAGACCAGCCCGGAGGCCGCCGCAGTGATCTGGGCGGGGAGCGAGCTCGGGTGGGCACCCCGTCGGCAGCTGAGGGGAGAGCTGTAGTGATTGGGCTGTTTCTGACACTCCCCGGGTTTCCTCAGAGGTGCCTTGCTTGGGACAAGTGCCGGGGAGCGGGGGCGGGGAGTGCCATGCTCCTTCCTCTGTTTTCACATTCAGCAGCTTCTCTTTAATACATCAAGGTTTTGCATAAGGGTTTGTTTGGTTTGGGGTTTTTTTGTGTGTGTGGACTTGAGGGAAAGGAAAGCGTGAGGTGCAAGGGGGTGGTGGCACCATTGATAAGGACTAAGCAGGAAGAACGGCTGGAGAAAATAGGAATTCCATTTTGGAAATCATTCTCAAAAACAACCTGCGGCAGGGAGGAATAAGGTAAATACCATATGTTAAATAGAATAGTCATATAAAGTAGAAATATCTAGTCCCAGGAGAGCCAAGTTTTATTGGACACTTAACTTTTAGCCACAGAGTGGCTGGTACTGTTGATAGATAGGTCTTTAGGAGGCCTGTCCTCACTGACTCCTGCTTTTCCACATCTCTGGAGAAAGAAGCTTGTTTAGACAGTTCCTCTTCCTGTTCCCCCTTTTGGTCTCCTGCCTACAGAAGGCCGGCAGGCCGGGGGTCCCTGCGGCCGCCCACCAGTCAGGCAGGTTGTGACGCCGAGAGCCCCGACCATGGAACAGCCGGGAGACAGAAGATCGGGCCTGCGAGATGGGTGGGGGGTGGGGGGGAAGGGCTGGGCAGGAGCTCATGAGAAAGGCGTTTTCTTAGGGTCTGCTGAATTTGGCATGTCTGTGAAGCATCCAGTGTAGCCTGGGTCTGAAAATGAGAGAGGTAGAGAATGAGGTTGCTAGGGACAGTATGGATTGAAAAGACAAAGTGCTGTTCTCAGGTGAATATGTGCATGCGAGAGAGGCGGTAAAAGAGGTCAGAGAGACAGGGGACCTGGGAGCGGGGAGCATTGAGGAAGTGAGCGGCAGAGGTGCTGAGGACCAGATAAGCGAGGACCAAGAAGAAGCCCTGTTAGGACATGAATACCCCTCGGGAGAGCAGTACCCGTGACAAGGCCAGAGTGGGTGCAGCACAGGCTTTTTAGAGTCAGATAACCCTGGCTGTTTACTGACTGAGGCCTCTGCACGTTGTATCATGGTTCTGAGCCACGGTCTTCTCCTCTGTAAAATGGGGAAAATTTATGAGCAAGGTTGCAAAAATTTAACGTTTGTTATGTCTTGCTTGTGGTAGGTTCAATAAATGCTTATTCATTTTCCTTTGTGCTACATTTAAAGACTTTTGAAACAAAGGAAACGAAGCAGGTGGCTAAGCCTGAGGAAGGCAGGAGCAGGCTAGGAAGGAAGTCCGCGTTAAGTGAAGTGTGTGGTTGATGGAAGGAGCCAGTGAAGAGGCGAGATTGAAGCTTTCAGGTCCCTCAGGGAGAGACTGATATGTTTGAGAAGGGCTGGAGAGCGTGGGTTGAGGAAGTCCTCTTGGAAAAAGCGAGGAGTGTATGTCTTTGCCGTCGGCAGGAAGGCTGGAGCAAATTAGAGCTGTGTGGAAGGAGACGAAGGGAAGTTGGGCCTGTGCCCCAGCCGACTGGAGAGCCAGACTTCAAACTCCATGGCTCCACTTTCTACCCTATGGTCTTGGGCCAAGTGAAATAGCTTTCCTAAGTCTCTGTTTTATTGGGCTGTTGTGAGGCTTCGATGAGAATCACAGAGTCTGGCCCATGGCTCTTTGAGAATGTGAGGTGTTTGTTCATATTGTTTGGGAGTTACACGCCTGATGGCCTCTGTTTGTCCCCTGGACCGAGCAATCTGTGGGCGTAGTGCCTGCAAGTATCGACTGTGGTGTTAGAAGTACCTGGGGGAGAGCTCTTGCTCAGCCATGTACTTACTAGCTAAGACTTTGGGCAAGTGCTCTAGTTTCTCTAAAGCTTGGTTTCTCCTGCATAAAATCAGATTAGTATTATGCTTACATTTAAAGAGGTGAGGATTAAATGTGTGTGAAGCACTCAGTTTGGTAGGCTGTACTTAGTAAGCACTCAATAAATGTAGCAAAGAGTGGGACCAGAAGAGGTTGACTAAGAATGCAAGGGTGTTGCCAAGCAGCAGGAGGGCCCAGATGGGGCCCAAACTTTAAGCTAAGAGAACTAACTAATTGTGAGAAACTCAGGCATCAGTCAACAGACATGGTGTGTGTGCACGCGCATGCACGCATGCGTGTGCGCACACATATACCTCCCCTCCTTTTCCCCATGGGATCCAACCCTCCAGTTCCCTGTGACAACCACAGCAAGGGTAGGCATGCGGGCTTAATCATTAGATGGGGAGGACTTGGAAAACTTGTTCTGATTGCATCCTTGTCCTGTGGACCTCTTGGGGTGGGGGCTTCTTGAGCATCCTATAGTTGGACCCCTCTGCCCACCCTGGCAGTGCCTCCTGCTTCATGCACTGCTGTGCCCACAGGACCGGGGCTTCTGTGTGGAAGTGAACACAGCCTTTGAGGACTTCGCCCACGTCATAAGCTTTGACAAGAGGGCTGCTGCGCTGGACGCAGGCAACATCAAGCTGACCTTCAATAGTGTGAGGGGTTGGGCGGGGCGGGGCTGTAGCCAGGGCTCCTGCTCAAACTCATCCCTGTGTCTTGTTTCATTCCTTCTCGTTCACTGCCCCAGCATAACTGTACCCCGGTTCAGGGGATGATGGTAGGAGCCCAGACCCCAACTTCCCACTTCCTAAGGTATGCCTTAGTGGGGCCCCGGCGCCCACCCTCCTGGGTGACCCTGGGCGTGCTTTCTGCCCTCAGCTGCTGGAGAAAGCAGAGGCACGGGAGAGAGAGCGCGAGAAGGAGGCGGCACGAAGGCTGCGGCGCAGGGAAGCTGCCTTCCGAAGCATGCTGAGGCAGGCCGTGCCTGCTCTGGAGCTGGGCACTGCCTGGGAAGAGGTCAGGACTGCAGCCCGGCGCCACACGCCACCCCCTCAGTCCTGAGGGCAGCGGTGCTTCTCCACCACTGGGGGCCCACCCCAGCCATAACACAGCTGGGGCCAGCTCCGGCTCCCTTCCTTCCTTCGCCCCAGCCCTGCCCTGTGCTCATGGCGGCACCCATGCTGTGCCGGGGCTGGTCTGATCAGCAGTGCTCTCCCGTTCAAGGTCCGTGAGCGCTTTGTGTGCGACTCAGCCTTTGAGCAGATCACCCTGGAGTCGGAGCGGATCCGGCTCTTCCGGGAGTTCCTGCAGGTACTGGAGGTGAGGCAGAGCTCCTGGTCCTCTGCATCCGTCCCAGGTGCTTGAACACCCGAGGCCCGCTCCACAGAGACCTACCCCCGCCTCCTTCTGGCCCTCCTTCCCTGGACAGCTAAGGAGGGGGAGGTTAGGTGCCCTGGATAGGCCTAAGGCTCAAACCTCAGAAAAGGAGGCCAAACAAGATTTTAGGTTTCAGGGTCCTCCCTGAGGCTCACCAGATACTCCCCCTTCTGCCTCCACCAGACTGAATGCCAGCACCTCCACACCAAAGGCCGAAAGCACGGCAGAAAGGGCAAGAAGCACCATCGCAAGCGTTCCCACTCGCCCTCAGTGAGTTGGTGGGGGAGGGATGTGGGGGAGGCTAGACAGTCTTGGGGAAATAAGAACTTTTATTTTTTTCCCCATGTCATCTCCCTTGAAGGGAGATTTGAGGACTCCTTCGGCCCTAGAGCCTTCCCTTTGCCCCCAATTCCCAGACTTGAGGGCTTTTGGAGGCCAAAGAATGTCTGCACTGACATATCTGCTGATTCGCTCAGGGCTCTGAGTCGGAAGAAGAGGAGCTGCCCCCACCGTCTCTCCGGCCCCCGAAGCGGAGGCGGCAGAACCCCTCCGAATCTGGCTCTGAGCCCTCTTCCTCACTTGATTCAGTTGAAAGTGGGGGAGCTGCCCTTGGAGGACGGGGCTCCCCATCCTCCCGCCTTCTCCTCGGATCAGGTAAGCAGCGAGGAGCTGGAACAGGTGGCCCAGACCGAGAGGAGGCCCTGGGGAGCCCCTGCCCAGGCAGGGAGCTGGAATGGCTGAGCCGCCCTCGGGCAGGTCCCTGTCTGGAGAGCAAGCAGACAGATGGACTGTGGCAGAGGAAAGGACGAGCCCTCCCTCTCCCATGGAACTTAGTGGGGGGCTTCTACTTCCAGATCATGGCCTTCGGAAAACCAAGAAACCAAAAAAGAAAACTAAAAAGAGAAGACACAAGTCGGTGCGTAGAGAAGGAACTTCTACCCAAGGCCCTGCTATTTTGTGAGATCTCTTCCACCCGCCTCCGGGCTGTTCTTCACAGGAACTGAGGCGGCGGGCTCTGGGCTCTTACAGAACAGTCCTGAGAGTGTGACAGACCCTGAGGAGAAAGCTGGCAAGGAGAGTGATGAGAAAGAACCAGAACAGGACAAGGACAGGGAGCTCCGGCTGGCAGAGCTCCCTAATCGCTCCCCAGGTTTTGGAATCAAGAAGGAGAAGGTGAGAGGCAGGTGCCTGGCCCCAGCCCAGGCAGTGCTCTGTCCAGGCCTCCATGGCCCTCAGGGGAGGCTGTGGGTGAGCTGTGCCTTTGCTCCACCAGACGGGCTGGGACACGTCAGAAAGTGAGCTGAGTGAGGGTGAGCTGGAAAGGCGGCGGCGGACACTCCTGCAGCAGCTGGATGACCACCAGTGACCCAACGAGCTGCTCGGCTTTGGGTCTGTGTGAGGCTGTGACTACTAGGTCACCCTCACTGTCTGCCCCAGACGCCTCCCTTAGTCTGGTCTGTGTCTATTTTTCCTCAAGTAACCCCACCCCCAACACGCCATTGACGGCACCTCCTGAGGTTGCTTGTTGTGATCAAGGGTCCCCCATTTCCCGGACAATTAATGCAGTCCTTGCCCTCAGCTCCACACGAGATTGGTGGCGTATGCCACGTGGGGCGGGTGGTGCCAGTAGATAGAATGTGAGAAGGGGCCTCCAGGGAAGTGACAGGCTGGTGGACACAGCCTGGGCGGCAGAGGGCAGCGTCCTCACCCTCTGGCAGCAGTGCCTGCTCCTGCCTGCCCAGGTCCTGGGGCTCCGCCATGCCTTCCTTCCAGCCTTGGGACCCAGTTTATCTGTTTTGTTTTGGTTTTGTTTTATAAATAATATTTATAACATGGCCAGTGGCTCTTTTGTCTTCAGTGGTGGGCTGGGGACTGGGCAGGTGCAGCCATGGCCAGCAGAGGGCGCTTGTGCCTCGTGGCAGGCCTGCTTCCCTTTGTGTGGTCAGAGCCCACCTAGCCTGGTTCTCCCCGCCAGGCCCCTGTGCTCACCTCCCCCAAGCAGATGGCAGCTCTGGCAAGCCTCCTTTCTATCTGTGTGGCTCAGGTCAAGCTAAATGGCCACCCTCACCCACCACCCTCAGAAAGAGAAGACAGACTCAGACCTGGTGCTTCAAGCCTTTGTTGGGAGAAAGGACTAGGGTTTATGTACAAACGAGAAGGGAGGTGGTACATGTACAAAAGGGAGTGGGTCCCTGTATTCTCTTCCAGGGGCTAATAAACTGGCAGGGGACTGAGAATATAGCCAGTTAAGACTATGATGCCTCCTGCCCGCCCACGCCCCTCCCCCCCCTTAGAAACCTAGCTGAAGAAGGGAGGTGAAGCTGTTGGCACACCCTCTCTCTAGCTGTGTTGGGGCTGGGGCAGGAAAAACCCCTGCCCGCCTCAGCAAGGACAGCCTGGAACGGAAGGGCCAGGACCGTGAGTCTGGCGTCTCTACTCAGATCATGAGCACAGCTGAGTGGGGCCCAGGCTCAGGAGGGCCTTACTCCTTGTGAAAGGTGACCTAAGATTAGCAGGGTCCCAGGGCTCCCCAAACCTAGACCCTTGTAGACCACAGCCGACCATGGAGCTGTGAGAAAGAAGGGATGATTGCATTCTCCTCTTGTCCCTTCAGCATTAACAACAGAGTGGCCAAGGTGCTCTGGCACAGGCTAAAGCTGGAAATGGTTTTTTCCAGCCCTGAGCTGACCTTTGGTGACCCTTCAGAAAATAAAGTTGAAGACCTTGGGGGCAAAGTGCAGTACTGGAGGCTCCCAAAGACCTAGTGCCCACAGTGGCAGCAGGCGAGATGCAGCTTTGAGAGCTGGGGTGGGTGCTGGGTCGGGAGCAGCACAGCCCTCTGCTGGTCCCTTAGCTGATGCCAGGGCTCTGGGTCCACTGGTTGCACTCGTAGAACTCAGAGTTGGAAGTGTGTGCCTCCTGGAGGGTCTCAGTGGGGGCCTGGAGCCCGAGGGGGGCCACTGGGTGGGGCCGCACTCCAGGCTTGGTGGCGAACGACAATTGGCTGGTGGTGAAGGCCTGTCGGGGAGACAGAGTTCCGTGAACAGGCATGGCAGCCAGGGACAGTCCCTTAGGAGCAGCTCACAGAGCCAGAGAAGAGCCAGCCATGAGACGGGGAGCAGCTTCAAGACGCTGGAGGGAGAGGTCAGGGAGATGGGTGGGCCCTGCATTTTCAGAGGATCACCTGGGGGTGACTAGAGGCCACTGGGCGGTGGCAGAAACAAGGTACACTCAGCAAGAGCCAGGAGCTGGGAAGAGACCCCCCAGCAGACTGGATCCTGGGAAAAAGTTCAAGGGACATCTGATGTCCCTAGGCAGAAACTACTGCCAGTGCTCTTATGAGGAAGGGTCTCAAGAGGGGAGCAAGGACAAAGGACACCCAAGCCCAGTAACAGGGCTTCGGGCTCAGCTCTCAGGGGCAGTGGCCTGGTCCCTGCCCCTTGGTCTTAGTAGAAGCTGGGACAGCATTAGTGGGAGAGATACTACTTCCCCGAGGGCACATGCAGGGCATAAGCCATGCTTCCCAGAGCACGGGGCATGCAGGGAGGAGGTAGGTGTCCCCATCACCACGAGGCAGCCAGAGAACGGTGCCAAGTCATGCAGAGGGGCAGCTGTGGTGCCCAGTACCTGTCAAGGGCCCCAGCCTCGGGGGTTAACAGTTTGATTCATCATGGTGGGCTGCATCGCAGAAGAAGCGTGAGCCCCTCTTGGCAGTACGGGCCGTGAAAGGGACACTCTTCAGCACTGTGGCCCAGGAGAGAGAGACTGGTCAGCCCCCACGGGGGTGCGGTCGGATGAGAACCCAGAGGCTATGACTAGGTTTGGGGAGCTGGGCCCAATACTCAGGCCCCAGGGAGGAAAAGAGCCCCACCTGTGATGATATCCTCAATGGTACCATCTTTCCCCTCATACACGGGCCGGTGCTCCTTGGCCTGGCGCCGCCTCAATTCTGCAATTAGCTCCTGCTGCTGCCACTTGTTCCGCTGGGATGGGGTCTAGGGCCAAGCATTTGAAGGGAAGGGATTCATCACTAACCTACCCTGGGGATGGCTCCTGCCCCAGGATACAGTCTGAGGGTGTCCTTGGCTGTGCACTGCAGCCCAGCCCCCACCCTTGCCTGGGAGTCCCCCTCCCAAAGGCCCTGTCTCCATCCTTTTGGACGCCAGCCTCAGGCCCTCTGGGTGGTCTGTGGACTCCAGTTTTCCATCTCCTCTCCGTTAGCTCCACCCCCTCCTGATCCTTCCCCGCCCGGTTTCCTTCAGGCCCCTGCTCTGGTCCCACCCACCTTGGCATCCAGTTTCTTGGCTTCCTGAGCCAGCTGCTTCTCCCGCATTACCTCCTCCTGCTTCTTGCGGGCCTCGTTCTCTTGTTCTGCTTCCTAAGAACCATGGTGGTGGGGGGTTGTGAGGCTCACACAAGCTGTGAGGGGAGGGGCTGACGCTGAGGGTGGAGAGTGGGTGGCAATGGGACCAGCAACCCCAGGTGGCCACCCTCTGGAGGGGCACTTCCTGCCCCAAACAATGACAGGAAGGGCCTGGGCCCCCACCCTGCCCACCAGTTCACAGCTAAGGCCTGTGGCCAGCTTCCATCGCTCCCTCCCAGGACTCAGAGGAGGAGATGGAAAAGGCCCAGACTTGAAGGCCAACCCTCTCTCCATCAATCAGGTTTCTCTCTCAGCCTTTTTTCTTTAAAAGCCTCTCTCCTGCTCACCTTGTAAGAACGAATGAATCGGACAAATACTGGGAAGAATACAGAAGGAGGTGTGGTCTTGGGACTCTCACCGAAGTAGCGCACAACTGCGTTGTAGGCCTCCTGGGGTACAGAAGGCAGAAGGGGTCAGCCCGGCTCCCCACCAGGGACAGGAGGCGCACAGCAGCACCCAGCCCCTATGGGCTGGGGAAGAACCGGCTCCCGCGCTCATTAGGGTACGCTCCCAGCGGCAGCCGCCTGCCACCTCCATGCCCCCTTTCCCCAACATTAAGCCAGCCAGTGCCTGGCAAAAGCTCTTTGATCCAAGAACCAAAAGTATGCCCGCTGGAGGGGCACAGTGCCTTAAGCACAGCAGCCTCCACCCTGTGCTCACCTCAGCCGTCTTGGCATCCCGCTGGAGCTTGTCCAGTTTGCCCTCATTGGTGCTGAGGAAGTTCCGAAGGACGCTGTTGTCGTGGATGCTGCACTCCCTCCGAATCAGCTCCATGCCCCGGCCCAGCTCCTTCACATCCAGCAGCACGTTCTCCAGGGACACTGTGGTAACCAGAACCCTGGCTGAGGCCTGCCCAGGGCCCTAGCATGCCTTTCCTTCCCGGCCCAGGGCCACAGCGAGCCCTGGCCCTCCCTCTCAGCACGGGCTCATTCAGGTTCCCCTGCTTCCTGAGCCACCCAGGTGGGCACAGAAAGGGGCACACCAGGCTAGCCAGGCTCTCACGGGTGAGAAAAGTGGAGGCTGGGAATTCATGACCCCAAAGAGCGAAGTAGCAAAGGAAGGCAAGACAGAGAGGCTGCTGGTCTCCAAAACGGAGCTGCCTGAGGCCTGCCCATTTTCATGAGTGGGACAGGAATGACAGCTCCCTTACGCCTGAGGGGCTTTATGGCATTTCTAAGCACTTCCCATACGTCACAGAGCAATGCAGTCTCTGGGCCCAGCCTGACGGGTTTAGGAGCGAAGAGCCCGCTGCTGCCTTCCTCTGCCTGCTCCCTCCCACCCAGATGAGAAGTGCTCGGCTGGGTCTGGTGCCTGTGGGAAGGCTCCCCCTGGGGGGCCCCTCCCGTGGCACCAGCGGAAAGCTTTGAAGTGGTCAGAAAACAGACGACAAAATCCAGAAACAAAAGGGACCCAGGTGTTCCATCTCACAGCTTCCTGGGATTGTCCTGAGTGGAATGAGAGGGTGGGCTCCCCTCACCTGCTGCAGCCTTCTCCACGAAGTGCAGCTCGTGCCAGAAGTTGGCTAGGTCTGGGTATTTCTCCTTCACCGTCAAGGCGATAAAATGCAGCAGTGTCATTTTCCTGTCCGTGGACTTAGTGTCCAGCAGCTGAGGAGGGGGGCAGGGAGCAACGTGAGAGGACTGAATACCCGGGCTCCGCAGCCACCATCCCTCCAGATTCCTGGCCCCATGTTGCCCCCACCATCTTACCAGATCCAGGCTCTGGAGCTTGAAGCCATACACGGCTCCCCTCTTGCTGCTGTTCATGTAGTTCCCCAGTGCAAGGATGATCTGTCCAAAAGGTGTGTGGGAGGAGGTCAGGCCAAGCCCTGAGGGCTCCTTCCTCTTCTATATACAGCCCCAGGTCCCCACCCAGGACCTGGGGCCCATCAGCACCCCCACCCACAACGTCTCCCCACCTCCAACATCTGCTTCAGCTTCTGTGAGGATTTGACAGAGGCGGAGGCTGCAATGATGGCATTGAGTTGCTGGAAGGCAAAATGAAGAGCTGAGTAACCCCAGGCCAGGATGGGGCAAAGTCAGAGAGGGGCTGGGAGGTCTGACAGGGCCAGCGACATGACTAGCAGGTGGACGGGGGAGAGGGAGCTGCAGGTGACTGAGACTGAGTGGGGGCCCTACCGGCGTGAGCATCTGCAGGTTGTCCTGAAAGTTGCCCAGGAAGGCCATGCCGGCCATCCGCTGGGTCAGCCGTTCCACCTTGCTGAAGAGCAGCATGAAGCGGTCCTCAGCCGCCAGCTCCTCCAAGGGCTGCCGCTCCCGCTCATATTGCCGCAGCAGCTTCACTTCCGCCTCTGTGGGCAGGAAGCGCATCAGGCACTCCACGAAGTCCACAGGTAGTGTCTGTAGGTCGTACCTGTGTAGGTGGAGGGAACCCCTTCAGGTCTGGCCCTTGCCCACATTACCCATCATCCCTC